TCTTCGACCTGTTTGTTTCCTCTCCACCTATCCTCTCCTCTATCCCTCTTCTATCCGCCTCCCACTCTCTCCCTATTTATTTCAAAACCCCCTTCCCCTCCCCCTTTTCTGATGAAGGGTCTAGGCCGGAAAAGTCAACCTCTCTGCTCCTATGATGCTGCTTGGCCTGCTGTGTTCATCCAGCCCTGCACCTTGTTGTCAGGGTATGTGAGGAAATGTTTTCTCTCCCAGAGTGTGACGGGAATCTGGAACTCTATGCCTGTAAGAGTAGCAGAGGCAGAAACCCTTAACATTTGCTTTCGTTGGTCAGTGCGTTGAGTATAGGAGTTGGGATGTCAAATTGCAGCTGTACAGGACGTTGGTTAGGCCACTTTTGGAGTACTGTGTTCAGTTCTGGTCTAGGAAAGATTCACAAGAACGCTGCTGGGTCTGGAGGGTATGAGCTGTAGGGAAAGGGTGAATAGGCTGGGGCTATTTTCCCTAGAGTGTCGGAGGTTGAGGGTTGACCTTTATAGAGGTTTATAAAATCATGAGAGCAATTATTAGGGTGAATAGCCAAGGTCTTTTTTTCCCCAGGGCAGGGGAGTCTGAAACTAGAGGGCACAGGTTTAAGTTGAGAGGGGAAAGATTTTAAAAGGGACCTGAAGGGTAACTTTTTCACACAGGGTGGTGCATGTATGGAATGAGCTGCCAGCGGAAGTGGTGGAGTCTGGTACAGATACAAGGCATAAAAAGGCATCTGGATGGGTATATGAATACAAAGCGTTTGGAGGAATATGGGACAAATGCTGCCAAATGGGACCAGATTGGTTTAGGATATCTGATCAGAATAGACAAGTTAGACTGAAGGGGCTGTTTCCGTGCTTCACAACTCTATGACTGTATTTAAGAAGTATTTAGATGTGCACTTGTGATCCAAGGCATGCAAGGGTATGAGCCAAGGGCTAGAAAATGGGTTTAGAAGAGTTAAGTGCTTGTTTTTCACTAGCACAGATTCGATGGGCTGAAGGGTGGTTTTCTGTGCTGTAGCCCGCTATGACTTTGTGATTCCAAGGCTGAGGGATGACTTGATAATTTAAAATTATGGAGAGTTTTTGATGGGTTAGTCGTAGCAAGGATGTTTGTGGGCGTGTGGAATGCATTGCCAGCAGTGATAGTGGAGGTATGTACTTTAGAGACTTTTAAGCGACTCTTAGATAGGCACATGGATGATAGTAGAATGTCAGGTATGCAGGGTGACTTGATCTTAGAGTAGGGTAATAGGTCAGCACAACGTCGTGGGCCGAAGGGCCTGTAATGTGCTGTTATGTTCATGTTTCCACTTGTGGGAAAGACCAGAATTATAAGATGGTCACTAATAATTTAATGATTACACAATGTGCAGTATCTTCCTTGACTCCTCCGATACTGAAGCAGCCCATGTGCAAATGCAAACAGAATAAAGGAGTGCTAATTTAAGACTGAGATACAGAGGAATTTCTTCTCTTAGAGGGTTGAGTGTCTTTGGAACTCGTTGCCACAGTGAGCTGTGGGGGGAGAGACCTTGTGTATATTTAAGGCTGAAATAGATTCTTATCGGTAGGGGAATCAAGGATTTTGGGAAAAGGCAGGAAAGTGAATGTGTGGAATGTTGGATCAGCCATCATCCCATTGAACGGTGGAGCAGTCTCAAGGGGCCGAATGGTCTTAAAACCACCTTCAATACCATCTTCCAAACTTGTTGCCACCTTATAGGATAAAGGCTACAGATGTGTGGGAACATCATCTATAAATTCCCCTCCAAGGCACACGCCATCCTAACCTACAGTTCTATTACCATTCCTTCACTGTTTCTGATTCGCAGTCCTGGAGCTCCCCTTCAAATAGACTTGAGTTTGAAGAGGGTAATTAGGAATGGACATCAAGTGCTGATCTAGTGAGCAGGACCCACGTTTTCGGAACGATTACAGAAATCACTTTGATAGTGAGTTCACGTTTTCACCACTTTTTTAAAAAAAAAAAAAAACAGGTAATCTTCCAGAAATCAACCTGTTCAATGATGTTATTACACAGCTCAGGAGCAGGTGGGGCCTGAACCTGGGCATTCTGACTCAGAGGTAGGGATACTACTACTGTGCCATGAGATCCTTGATGCTTATCTTTCAATTACTCTTATAACCAATAAGACCAAAAAGTAAACAATTATACCATGAAACCAAAAGGAGATGCAGATAGTTGGCAAGAAATCCAATAGAAATTCAGAACGAGCTTCATTTCCACAGAGTTGTGATTAAGTGGGAGTTGCACAGGGATTAATTGAAGTAAAAAGTACCGATGCATTTAAGGATTAGCTAGCTCTCCGTATGAAGGAGAAGGGAATGTATTGTTACATGGTTAAGAGAAGATGAAGGGATTTGTGAGTGGAACAGAAACACCAACATTTGATGGGTTGAGCTGAAGGCTTCTTTCTGTGTCTTATATCCTTTGTAATCCTATGTAGAAGTTCTGTAATGTGAACACTTTAATATAAAGCCATTTCAAATTGTGATTCTTGCTTTTAAAAAAATTATGTACTAAAACATTAGAAGTTAGTGAATTCTTATTGCTTATTTTGTATTTTAGATGGTTTGATGTGCTGCAGAAGGTTTCTTCACAACTGAAAGTCAGCCTGACAAATGTAACCAGGCATCGAACTGATAAGGTACTTTTTGTTCCATCGAAATGCACGTTATTTTTTTTCGGGAATGGGTGAGTTAAGTGGATAAGCCTTGGTGATCTGACACCAAAATCTACTAATAAAGCAATTGTAGTTTTAGAACATTATTTGAAACCCAATTGTAGCTTCAAAAGATGCAAAATTAGGAGTTGAAGAAGGAGAGAATGCAACTTTGAGCGAGGAGGGGACAGAATGTGGCTTTGAGTGTGGTGGGAGGCTCTGGAATTCTGTATTAAAGCTGCATTGAACTGGCTGGGGAGAGGCTGTGTGTTGTGTGAAATTGGGAATTAATATAATATTGAATCTTTCTGCATCCAGGAATCTATCTGGCATTCTTTCGATGTTCTCCATGTGAGGTCATTCTCTTGTGACCCATATTGGTTTTAAATATGGGATCCATTAGACAATAGAGAAGTTAGACACTTTGCTTTTTGATGCATTACAGAAGAATGATGTAGCTATTGGCTATTGTATGTAGAAAAGGTGAGAAAGGTGAGTCAATAGTGAAGAACTTTCACAACTGTAGATTGAAAGTCACCTGACACCCTCAAGTAGGCGAGACTTGCCATTATGCCAGAGCGCACGTTTCTTGTACTGTAACCAAAGCATTTTGTTTGGCCATATTATATTAAAATGATCCCAAAGTAAAATAATTTAATCTTTACTTGAGGCAAGTCAGCAATACTGTGTCAAAGTGTACTATATTTATTATCTAGCCTACCAGTTAGACCTGGTTTGTTGAGTCTTTTTTTCATGGTCTATAGGCTTTGGGCTTGAATTTGGTCAGTCTTGGAAGATCTGTTGCACTATTTGAAAAGCAGTGATAGGTTCTGTTGGCTTGGTCAAAATTTCTAGCTCTGACATCAACAGCAAGTGAACCGGTCACCTCATGCTAAATTATGTAGAATATGCTGCGTTTTCCCCACACTGACAGTCAATTGCTCGTCTGGATTGCCTCTGGATGTTCTCAATGTGGTTTTTATGTATCTTTCCGCATTGTAGAACGCAATACACAACTACATCCGCCTCTTTGAGCCTCTGGTCATCAAGGCCTTGAAGCAGTACACCACAACCACTTCAGTCCATCTGCAAAGACAAGTGCTTGATTTGTTGGCTCAGTTGGTACAACTCAGGGTGAACTACTGCCTACTTGATTCGGATCAGGTTGGTACTTGCTTTGAGTTCAGAAACCTGTTTGGATGAAAAGCTATCTAGGCAAAAAGCGAATAAAAGTGATCAACAATATTCATTTTAAAGGCAACCAGTTTTATTCTTCTAACTATTCCAGTATATAACACCTTGATGTTGGAAAGGACAATCCAGAGTTTTAAGATCTACAGAATATTGTTCCATAATAACTTAAGGCTGCCACAATATATTCCCCTCTTTGCGCTCTCATATTATGGACCTCTTTCCATTCAGGAGCGAAGGCATCTAAATAGAGTTGTGTTGAAACTCAGTTATGGCCTTGTTTAATGACTGAAGGAGCTGAATGGTTTGTTCCCATTATGTTCTGTTGAAACTTGGCTTCTTACCAATAACGTTTGCTCTTTATTTAGAAAATGATTTGGAGTTTGCCAACCTTTTTAATCCTTCTTGTTCACAATGAGAAACCCTGTTGAGCGTACAGCTCCATAGACTCTATCTAGAACAAATCCCACTTTTTTTATAGGCAGCCCATTCAACATTCTGTCCCTGAACCAGTAGATACACTATAGTAATTCACTCAAGCTCCTTGAATTTTGCCTTCTACCTCCATATTTACTACCTGGCAGCACAGTGACAGCAAATACATAGGAGCACCACCATTTGCAAGTTACCCTCCAACCCACACACCATCCTGACTTGGAACAGTACCCATCCTTTGAGTGTCGCTGTGTCAAAATCTTGGAGCTCCGTTTCTAACTGCACTGTGGGATTGTTGGATTTCTTAAAGTGAATAGGGAAGATTCATTTCAGGAAGACTAGACAAACATGAGAAAAATGGGATAAGATGAAGACGGGTGATAGAGGACTTCTGTGGCTTATAGACACTAGTATGAAACAGATGGATGGAATGTTTTGTTTAAATATTGTAAATTCTACATAATTGTATGATACAGTTGAATTTCCTTTCTTTTGTAGGTATTCATTGGGTTTGTTCTGAAGCAGTTTGAATTCATTGAGGTGGGCCAATTTAGGTGAGTTCCAACAATAGTCAATGGCAGTTTAGTACGTTTATGAACCCTTGTATTTGTTATCATAGTGACTTTTCTCAAATTACTAATTGTGTCTTTGCATGATTGTCCTTCCGCATGATTGTGTGCACTGTTTATCACTTGTTTACTAACAGTTATCTGTTGCAATTTTGCTAGGGAATCCGAGGCCATCATTCCAAACATATTTTTCTTCTTGGTATTGTTGTCATATGAGCGTTATCACTCCAAGCCAATCATTGGAATTCCCAAAATTATCCAACTGTGTGATGGGATCATGGCCAGCGGTCGGAAAGCTGTTACACACGGTAATGACCCTGACAAACTATGTTCTTGTTGCATTGTTTCACTATATTTGTGTTGCATAACTGCTGTGAAATCTTTAGTCATAAGTGCTAATAGTAAAATTAGAATTACAATTTCGTGTTGTGTGGAATTTCTACAATATTAGTTTGGCCTTTTTTGGTATTGCGTAGGTCTGATATTTCACTGTCATTTCAAAATTGATCAAGTTTTGTTTTTAAAGAAGCTTCAAATGTTTAGTTCAAAACTTGAGTACATGTGGTTGTGGCTGTTAGGGAATGTTTCGTTACAATAGAGACAGTGTGTGTTTCCACTTGTGGAGAAAAGCAAAGTGATAGGCCATCAATATAAATAGTCACAAAGAAATCCAGTTGAGAACTCAGTAGTAGCAACTTTGTTCAGAAAGTGGAACTCTGTTGTACCACAAGGTGTATTTGCTGCAGATAGTCAGGGTGCATTTAAGGGTAGGGAGAAGGGACTGGATGGATACGTGATGGAGGTAGGTGAGACAAATGGCATGAAGCTTGAGCGGAGTGTAAATGCTAGCAAGTACTGGTTAGGCTGAATGTTTCTCTGTCATGTGTTCATTGTAAAGTAAACTCAAAACCAATGAAGAGAATCCAAGATGCATTTACAATCATTTTGTCGAGAGGATTGGGCTTTGAGGTGAGTTTTTCTGTCTGGAAGTGGCTCCAAAATTGCTTGGCGACAGGAGTAGGAATTGAGTTGACTTGCAGGCAAGCTCAGTCATCTGATTACTGAGTCAGGAAGATCTTCCTCTGTTTCAGAGCACTAATGTCTGAATGACCAATCTGACTAGTTATTGGGGCTTCAAAGAGTAGACTTTCCCTGTGGCTGGACTTTTCATACTTAGCTTCCTGTTACCCTACAAAAGAATGGGGCATACAGTGTAGCAGGAAACTTGGTTGTAGGGATGTAGCTTTTGAAGTTCATATTGTGTAATCTGTATGAACGAGATTGCTATCCAGTTTGTAGCATAGCTTTGGTATCACCAGTTTCGCTTTTTTAAATTCATTTGTGGGATTTAGGCATCACTGGCTGGGCAAGCATTTACTATCCATCTCTAGTTACCTTTTGAGAAGGTGGTGAGCTGTCACCTTGCTGACTACAGGGATCAGAGCAATTAAATTGTAGAGTGCGCCTATTTTCAATTTCTGACTTGCTGTTAGGCTACCAGTGATTGGGAATGTCTCAAGGTTACTCTGATATCTACTGACAAGACTGGCTATGAGAGAGTTGCAGATCACAGCTAGTGATGGACTGCTTATGAGTATGATTTGCTTGAATCTGCACCAGAAGCACCGAGAGTAACTAGATCAATATACAGATAATGGTTACATAAAATTAGTTGGCAACTTCATTCTGGTTCTGGTGATGTAGGTGAACGTTATGAAGAAAACACTATATTCTTTTAAGCTTGCAGTTGTTCCATTATGTAGTGCCAATTCATCAGATATCACATGGCCTACCTCAGAAGCTGAATTACATCTCAAATGTTGGCCATTAAAATGGTTATTTAAACACTTTTTTCTGAAACCTTTTATCAGTATGTCCTGTGGCTCAGTGGGTTGCACTCTGGCCTCTGAGTTAAAATGTTGAAAGTTCAATCCCTGCTCGAGGGCCACAAGCACCTTTAGTGCAGTGTTGAGGGAGTGCTGATAAGGCATTAAATCACAGCTTTGCCTTCCCCTTTGGGTGGATATAAAAGGTGTTTCAGTGAACAGCAAGCGTTATCCCTGGTGTCTTGATCAATATCATTCATTCAACCAGCATTGTTTTTAAAATGAGTTACTTAGTCATAGTTCTGTTGCTCTGCTTGAATTTGCTGCTGTGTTTCCTATACTGACTAGGTTTCAGAACTACTTCAGTGGATATAAAGCTGTTTGAGATGTCCTGAGATTGTGAATGGTGCTGTATTGATGCAAACATTCTGCAGATGCTGATGGTTGTGCTGTCAATTTTCAGAATTTTTATTTTTTTGTTAAATTTCAGAATGGTTTGCTTAATTTTTGATCAAAACTTTCAGAAAGGTAACGTGAGAAGTAGGAACAGGAGCGGGTCACACTGTCCGTTTGAGTCTCCTCCACAATTTTCATGTGATCATGGCTATTCTTCTTGCTTTCACTTGATTTTCCCACTGATTCCCCGCACCCCTTGATTCCCTAAGAGATCAAAAATCACTGTGCTCCAGCCTTGAATGATAGGGCACTGATAACCTTTGGCGATGGAGAATTCCAAACAATCTCAAATCTTTTTGTGACGATTTCTAAATTCTAAATGATTAGCCCTTTACTCTAGACTGTGCCCGCATGCTCTACATTCCCCAGTCAGTGGAAACACTGTCCCTTATTATCCTATCAAGTCTCTTCAGAAATTGTGTATGTTTCACTGAGGCCACCTCATTCTTCTATACTGAAGAGAATGGAAGCATGTTTACTCAGCCTATCATTATTGGACAACACTCTTATCCCATGGACCAATGCGTTGAACCTTTTCTTTGTTGAAGAGCGTGCGCTTCTTGTGTCAATTTTGTTTTGTAAGAATCCAACAGAAGTTTTCTTTTTGTATTTTGGAATAGCAATCCCGGCACTGCAGCCGATAGTTCATGATCTGTTTGTACTGCGAGGGACCAATAAAGCTGATGCTGGCAAGGAACTGGATACACAGAAGGAAGTGGTAGTTTCTATGTTGCTGAGACTCATCCAATACCACCAGGTACATCCAACTTACTTTTTCCTAAAACCAGAACACGCCCGCTTCCCTGCCCTTCACCTTCCTCATCCCCATTCCTCCTCTTCACATCCCCCTCTTTAAAGTGCTTTGGAATGCAATTTATTGCTGGAGCCGGGATCATGAAATGGTATTGAAAGCTGGACAAAATAAGCATAGCCCACAATGGATTGTATGCCGTCCCACAGGATGCTGATTACAAGATACAAACAGAAGCAGCTATGTTCAGCCCTCATCTGTTCTGCCATTCACATACACATTCTTTGTCGTTCATGAGATATCAGCATCAATGGCTAGGCTAGCATTTATTGCCCTTGAAGGTAGTAGTGAACCATACATTTCAATCATCACAGTCTGTGAGGTGATGGTGCAGTGCTCGTAGGAAGGAAATTCCAGGATTTTGACCCTGAAACGCCGAAGGAACGGTGACATGGTTCTCAGTCTGGGTGAAGTGTGAGTTAAGGGTTTGCTTGGAGGTGCTGGTATTCCTGTCTGCTATTATCCTTGTTCTTCTAGGTTGAAGAGGACATGTATTTAGAAGCTTCTATTAAAAGAGCCTTGCTGCAGTGCATTTTTAAATGGTATATGCTCCAGCTCTAGTGTGCACTGGTATTGCAGAGAGTGAACATTTTATGGGTGATGGATGAGATACTATTCAAGTGGTCATTTTGTCTTTGATGGTGTAGAGTTCCTCAGCACTCTTTTTTTTATAATTCCATTCATCAGCAAAGGGAGGAGTATTCCATCACACTCCTACCATGTTTGTACTTGGTGGAATGGTCTAGGCAAGGCAAAAAGTTGATGAACGTTAGATCAAGGGAAATTTATACCTGAACTCCGTGTACCTATGTTGGTTCGCTTGGTCTTACTATGTTTATTTATCAAATATCTATCACTGTCTGTTTTGAAATTTTCCGTTGACTATGCAGCACCTGCGGGGGGGAAAGAGTTCCAGATTTCCATCAGCCTTTGTGTGTAGCAGTGCTTCCTAACTTTACCCTGAATGTCCTAGCTACCTGTAACTTTCAGATTATGAGCCCCCATCCCCTTATTCTGGATTACCTTCTGTCTGTACTCAGTCAAATTGTTTTTAAACACCTTAATTACATCACCCTAATCTACAACCTAATGAATACAGACTATCCTTTCCTTATAATTTATCCTCTGCCCCTGAACTATTGTTGTGCATCTACTCTGTACTCCTTTTCAAAGCCAGTATATTTGCTGTGAAGTGTATGGACCTAAACTGACCTAGTTTGAGTTTACTTGATCTGTCAACAGCCCATCAAAATTGAAGGTTTGTTTTTTTAAGTTTGCGTTTTGGAAGTTAGATGAAAGACTGGTTGTTGGTCTGTCTTGTTACAGTGATCAAAGATGTTCACTCCGTCCAGTCACCAGCAAGTACCCTTTATATTGAACTTAATGATGGCTACAGCTGATTTAAACAATTAAGCAATTTTCCTATAGTCACTGTCTGGCCAACAATGTACGGCGACAGCCTTATTGACCAAATAAATGGCTTATTTGCAGTGTTAAAGTACAGATGCTTAATCCAATCATATAACGTTCCTTAGTCTTTTTTTTAATAAAACTGATGTTTGGCCCCACTATAAAACATGTCAATATCTTTGACATGCCTCTGTTATTTTAACATAGAGGTGGAGACCCTGAGGTAGGCAGTTCTTGAGTGCCCTGGATGGATAGCGTCATCCTATTAAATACTTTGTTTACATACATCTGTGATACAATTACATGTCTCTGTTCTTTGCACCTCCCCCTTCCTCAGTTCTGCGTTATTGTTTGTGTTGCATGTTACTTATATTCCACTCTCCTCCCCTCTCCATCTGTCCTCACCCCATCTCTCCTATAGCAATAACTTGGATGTTGGCACCCTCGCAAGACTGGGAAAGTTAACGTCCACCTGTGAAATAAATCTGTTTTATTTGCTACACGTGTCATATTAATCTTTCATTGTGCACGGTTTACAGAAAGTGAATGGAACCTGTGAGGCATGGAAAACGTATGCCTCTTTCCTATTTGCCTTCACGTGTGACTCTCAGATACTAGCCAAAGCGGAGAGTAATATTTGAAAATTGCTTCAGCATTCTCCCAACATCCTAAAAGCAGCTTTTTAATCCACTGCCTATTCTAAAACCAGCTGTACAGGTGCTCCAAATTCAGATGTCCCTTGGATGTTTGCATAAGTTAACGGCTAGAATGTTTCGTTTTATACATTGTGCATCAACTTTATTGATCTTTATCATCCAGTCTGTTGTCCCCCTCATTACGTGATTTTCGTTGGCATCAATCAAGAAAAATCCCTATGCGAAGAAAGTGAACTGAATTTGGAGATCCTGGAAATGCACAGCACATCTGTCAGCAACTGTAAAGGGAACTTATTATTAATCTGCCTGTAGACCTGTTTGTGCATGCACGATTAATGATTCTGGTGTAGACATTTTTGGAGCACTGTTGGATCTGCTGTCTATTTCCACTGTTTCCAATCTGTCATATCATGAGTTTTTGTACAGTCTGGCCTTTGCTTCATCAGTGCATGTCTCATGCCCGGTTCCACTTCGATGTCTGTGGTTTAAATATTTTAATGAACTGATTTAGACAGATTAATTTCATGATTCCTGCAGTTATGAAAGACCAATTAATAATGTCCAGTTGACTGGATAGCTCCACAGTTCAACTGCTCCAAGTAGCCAGAACTATGGTGCAGCAACTGTCATGTCTTAGCCCGAATGCTGTAATAAACCTAGTTTTCTTTCTTAAATAGATTTGCAATAAACATCTTGAAATGGTAAGAATTGCAGGTTTAATTCTTTTGTGGTCAAAATTGACAAAATGTGCTTTTAAGCCTTTGGAAACAATTGAGTTTGACCTGTTTGAACGTTGATGCTTATTGCTTGATGTTTGATCAATCCACTGGGAGCTCTGTACTGTTTCTGTCCGATGTTGATGCCTGACCTTGGATTGGCGTGTGTGTGTGTGTAATATAATGTATTTTTGCGTGAAGATTGGAGTGGTGAGAACACAACCTTCAAAAGAAACTGTCTTTCTTGCTCCCTTCTTCTCACTAAACCCCCCAGCTCTTGGTATTAAAAATATTCTCCCCTACTTAGATTGCCTTCTGTATTGACTGATTCTGTTGTGAAACTCTCGTTTATTCGGGATTTAGAGAAATTGTTGTCCATTCAAACTCCAGTTTATGGAGCTAAATCAGTTCCCTTATCCAGTTGACTGATTTGTACAAATACAAAACTGGGTTCAAAGATCAAACTGGTTGGAAAGCCAAGTTTAGATTCCACAAGAAGGGGCTTTCACCTTAAAATTATAACGAGGCTGTAAAATCATAAAACACTGGTAAATCCTGAAGCGAACAATTCCTGCAATTTGCTGTGAATCTGGAGCTAATTAAAATGATCAAGACTTAGATTTTTGCTAGAGAAGGGATATGGAATACAGGTGGTAAATGAAGTTCGTTTTCAAATCATCCAAATGTAATTGGATCATGGGGCAGGATAGAAAGAGTGAGAGGCTTCCTCCTGTTTTTCTGATTGGAGAAAAACTTGATGGATTCTGGAACAAAAACAAAGTTGCTGGAAAAGCTCAGCAGGTCTGGCAGCATCTGTTCTGAAGAAGGGTCACCGGACCTGAAACGTTAACTCTGTTTTTTCCTTCACAAATGCTGCCAGACCTGCTGAGCTTTTCCAGCAACTTTGTTTTTGTTCCTGATTTACAGCATCCGCAGTTCTTTCAGTTTTTGATGGATTCTGGATTAGGTTTAGTTGCTGAAAGCAGTTTTTTGCAAAGGGTGTTAGAAATCTGGAACTCTTCCCCAAAAATCTGCAGATGCTCAAAGTCAGTTAAAATATTGAAGACTGAGATCAACTCACTTTTTTTGTTTGGTAAAGGTGCTGAGGTTGATCAGGTTGAGGTACAGATGAACCATAATCAAACTGTAAGGTAGAACAAGCTTAAATTGCTGTATGGCCTGTTGATAGATACCTGTGCTGTTCCACTTGTGGCCTTGGTGCATTCCGACCTTCTGTTACTCCTCTGTTGGTCATGCCTTCAGATGGAATTGCTTTCTTAAACCTGACCACACTTTTCCTCTTTGTTCCTTCTCAGTTGCTCCTTAAAAAATGGACCTCTTCTGCTGTGCTTTGGGTCACCAGTCGTAATATCTTCTCTCTGGAATGCTGTCAAATGTTATCTGAGGATGTGTCAGTGAAGTGCCTTGGGACATTTTACTACTTTAAAAGTCTTACATAAATTCAAGTTGTTTTTGTAAACAGCCCAAATCGGGAATAGAAGCACTGGCCTCTATCAATCCTAGCTCAATGAGCAGCTGTGTAAAGACAATGGGAAGTTTTTAGAACGACTCTGCTGTTTGTCTTCATCTCCCTGGCCTTCTACTCTCCATCTCTACGTTTCCCCATGAGTAGCAGGAGGGAACAGTCATCTCAACTTTCCCTTAGACTCTTGTTGCTTTCTTTTGATGACATGAAAGTAGGCAGGTGAAATATGTAAATGTTAGTTGCTGCATTGTATTTTTGTCACTGCAGGTCCTGGAGATGTTAATTCTGGTGTTGCAACAGTGTCACAAGGAGAATGAGGATAAGTGGAAACGTCTTTCACGCCAGATAGCTGACATGATTCTACCGTTGCTGGCTAAACAGCAGGTACAGACAGGCATAACTGGAGATTCCGGTACTAAAGCATTTGTGAACTGCCTTCACTGTTCCCTGCGGTGCTCTCTACTCGTGATTTTATTTCATAATATGTACAGATATGTAGACAATCTCTTTTCCTGGAGACTAGTGAGAATGAGAGAGCATGGAGCTCGCTACCATGGGCAGCAGGAAATATCAAATGCAATGAAGGGGAAAACTGGATAAACATGAGTGGGGAATGGAAGGACAACATTAGAGTTTGATAAAGTTGTGTGGGAGGAGACTTGAGTGGAACTTAAACAGCAGCACGGGCCAAATAAGCTGAATAGCCTGTTGATATACTGCCGATTCTGTTTAGAAATCCAGATTTAGTGTTTCTACTTTATGTGCAGTTACTAATTCTGGCACAAGTTGTGCCAGGTTTGAACTGATTTCTTTTTCCCTAAGTTTGTAGGGAAACTCATTTTGGTATCATCTAATGCAAAATTCAGAGCCAATTGGGCAGTGTGTTAAAACATGTTTTTTTTAAATTATTGCTTTAAATTGATCTTTTATAGTTTTAAAGTGGCAGCTTGATATGTTAGAAGTGCTTTAACGCTGAGTTCATCGCCTTTCTATAATCTTTTATGTAATGAAATTCATTATTTTTAAGTTATGTTGGAATATCTTAGTCAGTTTATTAAGTAAGTTGAAACAAAAATCACAAGAATTATTAAAACTTACCTTTTATTATACTTGGCTCAAAAGCAACCATAAAAGCTAGATTAATTTCTAAAGGATTGAAAAAGACATCCAAAGGACTGCTGTTAGTGGAACCCTGCAGTGAGGGTTAATTTACTGTGGGAGCTTGTCAAATTTTGTGGGTGGACGTTGCTTCATTCATTCAATGTTTTAAAAACGTGCTAAAATTGGAGAAACTAGAGTTTAACTACATTGCATTAAAAATTTCAGTTTAGTTTTGTGAATTGTATGAACAAAACATCACAGTTGAGCAGAAACCCCAGGCCCCAGTGTTCTCGTACAGCTGGTTAATGCAGGCAGTTCCTGTTTTTTATTTTTAGAATCCCTACAGTGTGAAAACAGGCCCTTCGGCCCAACAAGTTCACACCGACCCTCAGAGCATCCCATCCACCAATAGCCCACCTAATCAACACATCCCTGAACACTAGGGGCAATTTAGTACGATCAATTCACCTAGCGTGCACATCTTTGGACTGTGGGAGGAAACTGGAGGAAACCCACGCAGACACAGGGAGAATGTGCAAACTCCACACAGACAGTTGCCCGAGGGTGTGATTGAACCCGGGTCCCTGGCCTGTGAGGCAGCAGTGCTAACCACTGAGCCACCATGCTGCCAGATATGGTGAATTATATCATTAATATGGTGAAACATCATACAGTACTTGTTGGGAGATCTGAGAGGGCAGTCTTTACTAAGATGGACAGAAGAAGATTGATAAATCAAGGGAAAAAACGCATGGTGGAGTTTGCAGTTATGATTGAATTTGCAAACTTTGGATACCACCTCAATAAATTATATCTTGTAGAAAAAGTGGATATAAATATATGCATTATTTATTATTTTGTTTGTGCAGATGCATCTCGATTCACATGAAGCCTTAGGTGTGCTGAATACACTCTTTGAGACAGTGGCACCCTCATCACTGCGACCTGTTGACATGTTGCTGAAGAGTATGTTTGCAATGCCATGCACCCTGGTAAGCCACTCTCAGAATCTGACAGTTCTGGCCTCTTGAGCATTCCTGGTTTTAATTGCTACACCACCAGCAATATACCTTAAGCTGGCTAGGCCCTAATCACGGAAACGACTTTCTATAGCTCTCTATCTTCCCTTTTTACCTCCTTTACAACACTCCATCAAATCTGTCACTTGTGACCCAGCTTTTTGGCCATCCAACCTGACATCTCCTTAAGTGGCTCAGTGTCCACCTTGTTCCATAAAGCTCTTGTGAAGCAAACTTTGGAGATTTTAATCTGTTGGAGATGATATAAATTGCTATTTAAGTTTGAGTTGTGTTGAAAGCAGCTTTATGTGCAATGATCCTTCACTTGTATCTGATTTGGTTGGGAATGGGTGTTGGTTGTTACTGTATTCAAAAAGCAGGGATAGTGCTCAATTTCGTAAATTTGGCATGTAAAATCTTGAACTCAAAATATGTTTCTTTCCTCCTTGCTGTAACGAACTAAAGGAGTAATAACTGGAAGCTGTTTATCTTGTAGGCATCAGCTGGAACAGTTCAGCTTTGGATATCAGGTATCCTAGCTATCCTGCGGGTCCTCATTTCTCAGTCCACCGAGGATATTGTCCTGTCACGGGTTCAAGAATTGGCCTTGTCCCCTTATTTGATTTCCTGCCAGAACATAACCTTGTTGAGGGACCGAGGGAATCTGACTGTCCCACCAGAGGAACAGAATGAAGATACACAGAGTAAACATCTCCCGGAAGAAACTTTTGCCAGGTATATGTGGTTCGCTAACTTCCTAATAAAGTGTTAAGATAGTGCTGCAAAAAGACACAGGTTGCTGCTTCCATCTTCAGTCAGGATGTCCTTGCATCAGGGTGTACAATTGTGGGAAATGTGTAATCAAGATAGCAAATGGAATACGATCCTTTACTCCAAGAGGAATTAAACGTAACGTAAAGTTAAGGATGTTATGCGTCAAGTATTACAGGGCATTAGTGAAACCACATTTTGAATACTGTTTGTAGTTTTGGTCTCCTTATGTAAGGAAGAATGTTAAATGCATTGAAAGTGATCCAGAGGAAGCTTACCAGATTGATACCTGGAATGATTGTGTTGTCTTATGAGGAAAAGATGGACACACCGGGCTTGATTCCACTGGAGTTTTGAACAGTATGGTGTAAGGACTTGATTAAAGTTTCTAAGATCTTGTCTAGGTGGGTGTAGAAATAATGTTTCCGCCCATGGATGAGGCCAGAACTAGGGGCATGGTTTAAGGTTAAGGGGTCACCCTTTTAGAAATAATTTTCCCTGAGGAATGTCACTTTGGAACACTGTGTCTCAGAAGTCAGTGGACGTGTCATTGAGTATTTCTAAAGCGTAGGTAGATAAGGTTATCAGGAGAAAATGGGAATCTGGGATTCAAAACACAAACAAACCTTATGGGCTGATTGACCTATTTCTGCTCCTAACTAGTTTGTTTGTATTGCTGTAAACGAGAAACTAAGACTGCTATGCATTCTGTGGCACTAAATGTAAATTAACTGGTGGCTTTTTCAGTGAGTGTTGCTTGCAAAATGTTTATGTGGAACATTTTGAGGGATTTGTGAAAAATATGTCAAAATTTCCAAAAACAAATTACGTGGATTGTTGTGCAAAGCCAAAGCTTCTGTCCATAGCAAAAGTGAATATTGGCACTCAAGACATGCAATATTTGGACTGTAACACTTCATAACATGGCTTTGAGAAAGTGAAAGTTTAAAATAGTCCACAAATAGATATATCAGAACCTACTTCCACCACCCTCTGTGTTCCATTTTATTATAATTTGCTGAGTAATACCTCTCCTCTGTTATTTGGTTCACCAATGATATTAAATCTTGATACTGATCTTCCTGTAACAGAACAGTTCTCAATATGCACTCTATCAAAGCACCTCACAATTTTAAACACTTCCAAATCTTGTGCTAACTTTCCCTGCTGTAAGGCGAACAGACCCAATTTCTCTAGTCTCTCTGAAGCCCTTTATCACTACTAAATCTCCTCTCCTCCTTCTTCCCAAGCCTTGACATCCTACTTACAAGTGAGTTACCCTGGATTAGACACAATGCTATATCTGAGACCTAACTAGTGACCTAAAAAGATTTAGTATAATTTCCTTTTGTAAACTCTGTCTCTATCTGTAAAGCCAGTGACCTTTCATGTTCTTTTAACAGCCTACTCACCTTTTTTATGTCTGTAGATTTAGCTTTCTCGGGATGTTTTGTACTAGAAAACTGAGGTAGAAATACAGAAAATAAGAGCAGGAGCAAGCTATTTGGCCCTTAAAATCTGTCCTGCCATTGTGTGATCATATATCATCCTACTCACTACACTGTTCCTGCTTTCACCCTATACCCTTTAATCCCTTCAGCACGAAGAATTATGTCTAAATGCTTCACGAAAACATTTAATGTTTTGGAGTCCACCACTTTGTGGCCCACCACTGTCTGTGTGAAGAAATTTCTCCTTATCTCAGTCCTGAAAGGTCTACCTCAAATCTGTAGACTGTGACTCTCAGTTCTGGAATCCTAGTCATCGGGAAATTCCTTCTTGTGTTTAACCTGTTAAAATTTTATAGGTTTTTATGAAATGCCCCCTTGTTCTTATGAACTCCAGTGATCTAGCCCTAACCAATCCAGTTGGTTCACAAACTGAAGCCTCTCATCCTTAGTAAATCTCCTTAACATCTTTTCCAAAGGTTGACATCTTGCTTGAAAGTGACTTACTTCAAAATGGACATGGTACTCTAGCAGAGAGCTAACTGGTAATTAACTAGTGCATTCTTCTGTTTGCGCAGGTTCCTGTTGCAGATGGTGGGGATCCTCCTTGAAGACATTGTGAATAAGCAGTTGAAAGTGGACATGAGTGAGCAGCAGCATTCCTTTTATTGCCAGCAGATTGGCACTCTGCTAATGTGCCTCATACACATCTTCAAGTCAGGTAACACAGTTTGTCCTTTCTGGAAGAAGTTTTACTGACTGAAATATTTTAACAAATACTGACATTTGACAATAAAACAGAAGTTTCTGGAAAAGCTCAGCAGATCTGGCAGCACCTGTGAAGAAAAAATCAGAATTAACATTTCTGGTTCGGTGACCCTTCCACAGAACAGAACTGATATTTTTCTTTACAGATGCTACCAGACCTGCTGAGCTTTTCCGGAAACTTCTGTTTTTGTTTCTGACTTACAGCATCTGCAGTTCTTTTGGTTTTTTTTTTACTGACATTAGAACTGTGCTTGGGCCATCATTCACATACATTCCCCTGAACACGGCTGCTTCTTATATTTGAACTTGTCCCAGGATGTGGTACTTTAATTCCGTTTTGAGTAAGCAGTGCTTTGGTTTAATGTCCCGCCTGGGAGGTCACAGCATGGATAATATTAAATTTCCTCAAAATGTGTGCTCTTTAGTGTCATAATGTTGAGTTCTAGTCCCATTCCAGAGTCTTGAACATATGAATTTAGACTGATGTTCGCAGTGCTGTGGTGAGTGGATTTCCTTGCAGATAAGACAGCAAGCTGAGGCACAGCCTTCCCTGTCAGGTACATGTAAAGTATCCCACATGAAGAGTAGTAGGAGAGTCTCCGTGATATCTTGGAAACATTTATTCCCTGAACTAATATCACTGAAGAGAGTAAGATTCATCTAGTTGTTATTGCTGTTTGAGAGAACTTGCTCTGTACAAATTGGTGTCACCTTTTCTCCCTTCCAATCTACAAAAGAACTTAAATGTTCCAAAGCACTTTGGGGCAGCTTTAGGTCATGAAAGGCACTATATAAATGCATGTTCTCCTTCCTTTCTTTCAGGGATGTTTAGAAGAATCACAGCAGCTGCCACTAGATTGATTGTGGGGAACGGCTTCGATGGAAGCTTTTACACATTGGAAAGCTTGAATGCCTTGGTTCAATCCATAATTCCCACTCACCCGTCTTTAGTACTGCTTTGGTGCCAAATCCTACTGCTTGTGAACTACACAAACTACAGCTGGTGGTCAGAGGTGCATCAGACACCGAAGTAAGTAGAACTAATAGAAAGCTCTCGATTGTCTGTCAAATACAATAACACCGTCCTCTTTGGTATAGTCCTCCTTGCATTTGAAAAAAATCAGTACCTGAATATAAATAGAATAAAGTTAGTAAATCGTGTTGATGTTTTATCTTGCAGTATTGTGTTCAAATTTCTCCATGGCATTTACCCTACCAAGCATTCTCCAGTCATACAATTCTGTTGTGATCTCTGCACTTCCCCAACTCTGCCCTTGTGACCCCCACTTACTTCACCCTACTAGTGACCTTGCCTTCAGCTGTCAAGGCCCTCAGCTCTGGAGTACCTTCTTTAAAAGGTTTCTTCCTCTTTTCTTATAGAAGACTGTTTGTTTAAAAACTGCCCCTCTAGCTTATTGGTCAGCCACTCATTCTGTTGTCTCTTCCTTTTACTTGTTGCAAATTTTTTGCTTAATTCCACTCTTGTGAGAATGAAACAGCACTTGTGCTCTTAAAACAATTTCAAACCTTTTTCAATTGATAACAGAAAGGTGGTGGGGAAGAGAGCAATTATTGCCAATCCCCTGTATTAATGTTATTGTTCTATGTTGTGCCACTTTGTTCTTAAATAAAGAATAGCATAATAACGTATTAACTCTCCCGCACCCAAAGAAAAGAAAAAGGTTAAATGTCAGAAAGGAAACCAATTAATTGCAATCCTGGATAAGATTGATGTTTGTGTTATAGTCCAATTAGAGGCTGAGAGAGTTGCCGTCAGTTTCATTCATGCATTTGCACGCGTGTCACTCTTGCTCAATCTCTTTTAGCTGCATACTCACTTTTGCTTCTGTGCCCACTCCCTGCCACTGGTGCACTCACGCCCAATCAATAGCAGGCTAGCTTCCTCGCACTTCTGCTCAATATGTGTACTTGCTCCCCATCAGTAACATGCTTGCTTCCTGCTTGCGCCTTTGTACTTCACCCTTCTACTCACTACCACAGTTGCACCCTGTCTGAGGTGTGCTCACACCATTTCCTATCAGTTGTGAGCTTGCACCCTTCCATCCATTACCTGCTTGCACTCTTTCTCTACGACAGAAGGGTAGACTAAAGCAGTTATGTTGTGGGGATTAATTATTCTGCTAGTTACCTCCTGAAAGATTGTGTTGTTCCTGAGCAGAGTAGTTCATTTGAATCTGTTCCTCTCGCTTGCTGAACTTGACAGGAGTTGCAATGTTGTGGGAACATCAGCTCCAATTTGTGCAGCAACTTGACATGGACATAAGTTGCTCAGTTCAACATTCCCTTTCTGACTGACTTCTCCAAATTTTAGAGGGAGATGTGACGCTGCAGACTGTGTACTTGTTTTCCTAACCTCCCAATTACCTTTTTAATTCTTTTACAGCATGTGTATGTCCCTTGCCAGGTCAGAATTTGTTGCTCATCTTTAATTGCTTTTGAGTAGGTGGCAGTGAGTTTCCTTCTTGGAATGCTGCGATCATATTGTCTAGATAAATCCGCAGTGTTGTTATGAAAGGAGTTTCAGTTATTGATATTCAGCAGCAGTAAAACAACTGCAATATATTTCCAACTTCAAGATGGTGGGTGGCGGGGAGCCTGTTGGTGATAGTGTTACCTTGTGTCTGCTGTCTTTATCCTTCAAGATGGTAAAGGTCACAGGTTTCAAACATTTAAAAGGCACCAAGGAACCTTGAGTTACTGTTGCGCATCTTTTAAATGGAACACACTGCTACACGGTGCAACAATGGTGAATGGAGTGACTGTTTAAGATGACGGATAGGGTGTGGATAAAGTGGTCTGCTTTGTCGTGGATGGGATGTATCTAGCTTCTTGAATCTTGTTGGAGCTGAATTCACCCAGAGAAGTACAGAGTATGCCATCACACTCCTGACCTTGTTCCTTGTAGCTGATGGACGCTGCATTCTCCCTGCTGTAGCATCCTTTGGTGCTAATCTGCGATTGCAAAACAGTATTTATGTGGGTAATCCAATTCAGCTTTTGGCTCAACTCCCCCCTCCAAGATATTGATAAGTGAGGGTTTCGGTGATGGAAATGCCACTCAATGTCAAGAAGAGATGGTCACATTGTCTCTTATTGAAGATGATCATTGCCCCTTGCTCCCATTAACTTCAGTTTTGCTAGGGCTCCCGGATTCTATGCTTGGTCAAATTCTGCCTTGAAGTGAAGAGCAGTCACTCACCCATGCCTTGTCGAGCTCAGCTCTTTTGTCTATGTTTGTACTGTAATGAGGTCAGGAGCTGAATGGACCTGGCAGAACCCACCTGGGCGTCGCTGAGCAAGTGCTGTTTAACAGTACTTCCGTTACTTCATGACATTAACATTTTTAGCCAGTGATCTTATGAGGTAGTCATTAGCTGGATTTGTCTTGTTTTCTGGGCTGAGCATACCCCAGCAGTTGCCATGTAGCTTGCTATGTGGAAAATGTCAGAGCTTGATTCAAACGAGGATTTATAAACATCATGTGAATCTCTCCAGTATGCGAAGACTGTGCTGCTACTTTGAGGAAAGATTTTGCTTCACTAGAAAAATATTGTATCTTTTGTGAGATCTCTTTTTTTCTTTGTAACACAGGAGGCACAGCTTGTCGAGCACTAAGTTGCTGAGTCCTCAGATATCTGAAAATGAAGATTCAAAATCTGTGTCTAAGTTGGGTGTGTGCAATAGGGAAATAGTTCGAAGAGGAGCCCTCATTCTTTTCTGTGATTATGTGGTAAGATTCACTAGAATTATTATTGAGTTTTAAAGTGAAATTTTGCAATGCTTTAAGTATCACACAGAAGTGTTAGCTTAGTTGGTATAAAATTCAGCCTTTTGAATATGAAGAAAATGGGTTTTGTTCTGCGTGCTTTTGTTAGCCAAGCAGATTCACTGTGATAGCTCAGTTGCTTTGTGAGTGATGGAGCAGAAAATTCAGATGACACAGATGCAATCTATGGTTGTGAAGATAAGCCATTTAACCTATTGAGCTCACTCCCAAAATTTTGTTTCTTCAAGCACCTGTTTTATTTCCAGCTCTCCATCTTTTGCCTATGTCCTACAATTGTTCAAAATATAGACAGTTCAGTCCACTGTGTCTTGCTTCACCATTTTATTAGGTTGCAGTAATTCTTCATCTTTCTAAGCTCAGTTTCATGCCCTTTCTCCATCATCGATAGAACCTGGCCTCTTGAGTCTGTTCCACTGTTTTGAAAAATTAATGTATACATCATTTCAAGTACAGTTAACAAAAAGTTAAGATAAGCTGTGTTTTTCCTTGAGAAATTGGGCTTTTAAAAAATTCATTCATGGGACATGAGTGTTGCCAGCTAGGTCAGCACATGTTGTACCTCCCTATTTGCCCTTGAGGAAGGGGAGGTGAGTGACCACCTTGAACCCTGCAGTCCATGGTCGGGTAGGTACACCCACCTTCAGTTAGAGGTGGATTCCAGGTTCATTTTTAGTGATAGTGAAGGATATTTATCTATGAAAATGGATGTTTGCTGATTTCTGCCATCTGTTGTTCCAGTGTCAAAACCTTCATGATTCTGAGCACCTGACTTGGCTGATAGTCAACCATGTCCAAGATCTTATCAATCTTTCTCATGAACCTCCAGTACAAGATTTTATCAGTGCTGTTCATCGTAACTCCGCTGCCAGTGGGCTTTTCATTCAAGCTATCCAGTCCCGATGTGACAATCTTGCAACAGTAAGTACGTTCTTTCCCAGAGTGTGCTTTTGTGCATTAACTCATTTAATCAGCTCTTCAAGTTTCCTATTGATTGACTGACTGATGTTAGGCCAGTGAGCATCAGAACCAACCATGGAATGAAGTTAGATCTTCAGTGTGTACTGATTTGGTTGAACTGACCTTACTGGGGTTAGGAGCACAGTACTTTAATTCGAATGGTTGGAGAGAATCAAACGTGTCACTTCATCTAGTGTTAATAACAAAAGCTTCACTTTCAGCAGAGGGGGACTTTTAGATGGAATCAATAAGGAAAGGCCAGTGGAATGCCCACAGGTTTGAATGGCGAGTGCCCAAGACTAACCCGCAGTGTTTCATTCTGTTGGAACAGGAGACATAACTGTGCTGCATGTAGACAGTGGTTGAGTTGGCACAGAGGGCAAATGGTAGTTCTGATGCCCTTTTACTGGCCTCTGAAATCCACACCTTGGTGTTGAACAGTGGTGATTTTCACTTCCTGCCCGCAGAGCTCTTCTCCCATGTCTACTGGCATCAGGTTGTGACTGTTAGGCTCAGATATGCATCCACTTTGGCCTGGCTAGTTGTTGGCAATGATGCACTGCAGATGTAGCTCCAGTTATTATTTGCTTACTTAATGTCTGGTTGTAGCCTGTACCATATCAAATGGAAACGATCACTCCAGTGAGGCCAATGGACCCTGAATCCGATCTGCCCGGGGTAAGGAATTTGGAGCACAAGAGCAGGCTTGTATTCACGATCTTCACGAGCCCTCTTCTAACACACTTCATCAAAGTATAGCAACATGGTATTTCTATTTCTTTCTCCCTTGTGTTAATCCAGTTTCCCCTTAAATATATATTTCCTACTCACTTCAACTACTGGCTGCCACCAATTACTCCCTGGAGTAGTGAGCTCTAGGTTCTCATTGCTCTTTGGGTAAATGTTTCTCCTATATTTCTCATCAGATCAAATTCTTCCATTTGAATCTTATTGTCCTGTCTTCTCCTACCTGTAGCCAACTATGTTAAAGAAGACCCTGCAATGCTTGGAGGGGATCCACCTCAGCCAGTCAGGGGCAGTCTTGATGCTATACATTGATAAGCTCATCAGCACACCTTTCCGAGTCCTGGCACGGATGGTGGACACCCTGGCTTGCCGGCGAGTTGAGATGCTTTTGGCCGAAAGTTTACAGGTAACATGGAACCTTGCGCAGTGCAGCTGTCACCCTTGGCCCAGTCTTTTGACCATTTCCTCCTGATACATGTGCAAAATTTCCCCATGTGCTTTCAGCTGAAGTCATTTCTGAACATAACTGCACAGAAGTATGTTATAGGAATATGGATTACAGCTCACAGATTTACAGGCCAGTAATTAAATAGTAGAGGTCAGCCTGCTTGACTGTACTTTTTACTTGTTTGGGCAACAGGTTGTTGCAGTTAAACACCATCTTTAACTTGGTAACACATTTCAAAATGCTTCAAAGTAAAACAAAGTCAAATTTCATACCGAGCCAAAAAGAAACATTGAATGAGATGTTGAAAGTTTGACCAAAGTGTTAGGTGCAAGCTGGAGCTGACTTCTGCACTTAAATTTTTTTTTCTTTGCTCTTTCATGGGACGGGTATCACTAGCATGGTCACCATTATTGCCTGTCCCTAATTGCTCTTGAACATATTGGCATGCTCAGTCATTTGAGGACAGTTAAGAGTCAGCCACATTCCTGACTCTCAAAGCTTTGTGCTAGGAGGATTATATTGTGAAGTTCACTTACTGGATGATTACTGAGGGGGCTTACCTGTTTACGTATTTAATTTTTTTTTACTTTCTTGTGTGGGGGTGATATCTGTTTTCGCTATGCCCAAAAATATGTTGAAGCAGGAATAATTAGAATAATTGAAGTTTTTGGCCATACAGAACTTTAATTTGGTTGAACAGAGCCATGTTGCTGAAGGTTTTTGTCTTGTACTCATCAGAAAAAAATGAAAAAAATTTCACATGACCACGAGAATTTGTATTACAAGAAGAAAGATTGCTGATTGGCAAATCGATTGATATGCCAAGGCATTGTAAAGGAGAAGGCAACAGAGTTTCTCAGGCTTCTGGGTTATTTTAATAGAAGTGCAAAGCTTGAACATATTCCACTTGTTTGCAGGGAATAGGTGCTTGTGTATGGATGTATGTTGCTTCTAGCAAATGCAGTGAGCCTTATGAGCTCAACTGATTATCTTAAATCACTTGGATATCAGCGCACTCAGGATTGTTGTGATTATTTGAAATTTGGTCTTCCTGTGATTGTCGTCAAAACTGCAAGACACACAGCTTCAAAAACATGTCTCACTTTCCGGCTATATTAAAATGTTGCGACTCCTTTCATTCTGTTATTTGTCCTTGCTTGAGTGGGCTGTCCATCCAGCTTGGCTCAGTAGCTGGCTGAGTAATTAAGGTCATGGGATCAGTCTGTATGAAGGGGGCCTCAACGATTTAATTTCACCATTCCAGAAAACCACTCCCATTGTCTTTTTTTAATGTCAGAGCAGGGAAAGTGAGACATTGGTATAGTTTCTCATTTAGAATGATGGCATCTTTGATAGTTCATTCTACCAGAGAAAAACTGAATCCTGAAACAACTGAAAGCGAGATTAGAGATATTAGGATAGAATGCTTTACACAGTTTAGTTCAGCTAGTGGATAATGTAAAGCAGAAGGGCACAATGTATATATCCTTGAATCCTGAACAGCATTCTGTCTAATTTTCTTACCAACTACATGAACCTCTGAAGCTGGTGCGTAGCAACAACTTCTGGAACTGGAAGTCAGTGCTGCAATTGGTGTGCCGATGTTGATTGCCATGTGCGGAACATCGGCAGCTCAGACAGAAATATTTATCCTGTGGGAGATAAGGATGAAATGTGCCAGAATGAGAGAAATCATATGATATGTGAATGGGAACTGGAGAGTGCCCAAATGGTACTTTCTTTTTTTTTTTGGAAAGGAAGGGAAACCAAGCTAATTCAGCAAATAAAGGTGGTTTAGCTCACTATATGGAGACAACATTGGAGCCTGTAAGGATGAATCCATAACGTATCTAGGTAAAGGGAAAGTAAAATCAGCCAGGGGTTTTAAAAGGTACCATTGTGTCCTAAACCCTCACCTAACAAGCGATGGGAAGTGAGGAAATAGTGAATGTGGTATGTGAAAGTTTTAGGAAAGCCTTGGGACACTTGGTCAAAACATGTGAATTTCAGTGATTGGCATCTAAAAAGGAAGAGGATGTATAAAACAACACCATGTTAAATTTCATGAATAGAAAGCAGATGGTTAAATGGCAACAAATTTAGCATGAGAGAATAGGAGACATGTTGAGAGAAACTGAAGAAAGCAAAATTACAAGATATGTACAATGAGAGAGATGGGAAAATTGAGACAGTGAAAATGGAAGCAATATCTTTATGAAAAGGAAGTTGTCATATCAAGCCAAAAAGACATCCTTTACCTCCCAGCCACACGGAAACACATGTTCACCCATCTCACACCACTATTCTGTCCATGAAAACTGCCCAATCTGCTAAGAGTCTCCCTTATTTTTCTGTTTTGTCTCAGATTTACAACTGTTGTGATTTATTGTAAACTAATTTTAAAATAAAGATCCTCTCTTTTTAGAATAGCGTTGCCCAAGTGCCCCGTGAAGAGTTGGAAAGGATTCAGCGTTATCTACAGACAACTTGCCTTGCTCAAAGGTACAAAGACTTGAGTTGATCTTGAGTTTATCCAATTTTTGTCGGCATCACGGCAGGAGGGGCAAGAGGAGAATGCATTCCTCCCCGGTGCCTCCGAGAAGTGAGGGAATTGAAACAATCAGTTACCACAGTGCCTTGTCTGAATGTGCGAGTGTAGGTGCTTTACCTTGTCTGGTTATGGGGGTGTTGGTGCTATTCCTGGTCCAGAGGTGAGTGTGTTGGTCCAGGGCTTTGTCTGGATGCAGCGTGGGGTCGGTTGGTGCAAGCCTTGTCCAGGTGTAGAGGGTGTTGTTGCCATTCCTGGTCCAGACACGGGCATATGGGCACGATGCCTATTCTTTTTTGGGGGTTGTTGCCAAGCGTGGTCCAGATACACAAGGAAGGGTGTGAGGGTATTGTCCAGTCTGGATCTAGGAACGTTGGCACTCGGCCTTGGCCGGTGAATTCATGCTCAAACAGCCTTAATGAATTAAGACCTTTAGGATGTTGCTTTGCTTTACAATCTGTTTTGGTATAAAAGTCTCAATTAACCTTAGGAAGAATAAATTCTGCTTTGATTTCAGACACCAAAGATTGTACTCCCTACTGGACAGGTTCCGTACAACAGTTGCCGCAGACACAGTGAGCCCTTCTCCAATTGTGACCTCTCACCCATTGGATGGAGATAAGCTGTCTTCCATGGAATCTATCATTGTGGACAAAGTGAGAACACTAGGGCAGAGGGACAGCCTTTTCTCTAGGATCGTCAAGTACATTCATAATTAAATTGAATGAGAATAGCAGAGGCTGGTTCTACTCGTGATCTAATCATTTCTGTTGTGTTGCAGCATTATTGGCGGTAGTGTTTCAATAACTCAAAGGTTCTCCTGATAAATCTAAGCAAATCGGCATAATTAATGACCTTTTGGCAAGGTTAGGTGAATAGAAAGAGACACGCACACACAACTCCCTTGTTTGATGGATTATTGATTAGAGGTTATTAAGTAAAAAAGGATGATAAACTAAGACAGTTGACTTTATTCCAGATGTTGATAAATGATGCAACGTCCTGTTAAAATGGTTTCAGCCACTCGCTGTATCTTTTAATGGAAAACTGTTTGTATCTGAATCCGAAGATCAAAGCGTTAGAGAAGAGTTTTGCAGTGGGTTGAAGTGAGCCACATTGTTAAACTGAGGTGAATGATCCCTTTGGCAATATTTCTGAAGCGAAGCAGGGGAGGTAACTGTGGTGACCCAGGCCCATATTTATCCCTTATGTAACATCACTAACTGGATTATCCAGTCATTACCAAATTGCTGTTTGTGGGAGCTTACTGTGCTCAAATTGGTTGTTGCATTGTCTACTCTGGGCTCTTGTGGTGGGGTGATAGTGTCCTTATCTTTCAGTAAGGAGGCCCGGGTTCAAGTTCCAGCTGCTCCAGAGGTATGTAATAACATTTTTGAACAGGCTGATTAGAAAATATCTAGAACAGTAGCTGAGAGATAGCAAGAACTGCAGATGCTGGAGTCAGCCAACACATTGGAGGAACACAGCAGGTTAGGCAGCATCCGAGGAGCAGGAAAGTTGATGTTTCGGGTCGGGACCCTTCTTCAATCCTGACTTTCCTGCTCCTCTGATGCTGCCTGACCTGTGCTTCTCCAGCTTCACATTGTTGACTAGAACAGTAGCTGTCCTTCAAAAAGTACATGCTTGGCAGTAAAGTGCTTTAAGATGTACAATGGCCAAGAAAGATGTATAAATGTAAATTTCTGTTGTTTTTTTTAAGCTCACTCGGGATGTTAACTGGTATAATAACAGCCTAAAGACTGCTCTCCCACAAACAGTACACCTAACAAAACGTAACAATACAGGCAGAGATGAGCTGCTTTCTTCAGAATAGTAAAAATGGAAAGCATCCTTAAGTAATGTTAGTGTTAGTGAACAGAATGACTTGAGACTGTTTCCCTTATCTGCTGATCAGAGAAGAATAGTGCAGGGCTTGTGGGAGAAGAGTGTGTGAGAGACAGGTTCTTGAGAGATTTTTTAAAAATCCTTTATGGAAGGACTGCTTGTATTTGATTTACCCCATTATTATCAGAAGTCTGATAATTTTCAGCAACCTGAAAGCAGCCAAGAGCAAGATGTAACTGTTAGAATCATTGGTGTCCTTCCTTCCTTGTAAATAAAAACATAAGAACTAGGAGCAGGAGTAGGCCGTCTGGCCCTTCGAGCCTGCTCCGCCATACAATAAGATCATGGCTGATCTTTTTGTGGACTCAGATCCACTTAACCCGCGTTCTCACCGTATCCCTTAATTCCTTTATTGTTCAAAAAAAATCTACCTTTTTTTAAAAACGTTTACTGAAGTAGCGTCAACTACTTCACTGGGCAAGGAATTCCATAGATTAACAACCCTCTGGGTGAAGAAATTCCTTCTCAATTCAGTCCTAAATCTGCTCCCTCTAATCTTGAGGCTATGCCCTCTTGTCCTAGCTTCACCTGCCAGTGGAAACATCCTCTCTACTTCTATCTTATCTATTCCCTTCATAATTTTATATGTTTCTATAAGATCCCCCCTCAATCTTCTGAATTCCAATGAATATAATCCCAATCTACTCAGTCTCTCCTCATAAGCCAACCCCCTCAACTCCGGAATCAACCTAGTGAACCTCCTTTGCGTCCCCTCCAGCGCCAATACATCCTTTCTCATGTAAGGAGACCAAAACTGCACACAGTACTCCAGGTGTGGCCTCACCAGCACCTTGTACAGCTGCAACATAACCTCTCTGCTTTTAATGTCAATCCCTTTAGCAATGAAGGACAAAATTCCATTTACCTTCCTAATTACTTGTTGTACCTGCAGACCTACCTTCTGTGATTCATGCACAAGGACACCCAGGTCCCTCTGCATAGCAGCATGCTGCAACAAATAACGTACAAGTCCATCTTGTCTGCTGTGGCCATCTTAACTATGATGTTGAAAAGTTCTTGCAATATCTTACTGAGGTCAATGAACAAGAATTAAACTGCTATGACCATACTCAAAGCTTTTGTTCAGCTAAAGATGCTTATACTGTTTTCTTGTATAACAGGACTGGTATGTCTCGCTTATTAAATGGCAGTGCTGCAGCAAGTTAAATACTGCTTTAATGGAGTGCACTGAATTACTCAATAAACTTCCTGAAGACGACCTCCGCTCTGTCATGACAGCTAAGGTAATGGCTTAGTCAGGTTGTGCTGAATTAGTATTCCTACTTGGTTCCTTTATCCACCTGGGAAATTGAGTGTAGGTGGAATTCTAGAACAGTGCTTCATGGGAGAGTGACAGAAGGAAATGAATGTTGTGAAAGATGGAAAAACTCAAGGGGTCAAAAGAGTCTTTTGGAAGGAAACTTCCTGTGCCTGTGGATCATCCATTTCTAACACGAACATTTCTTTACAATTGTGTGAAAATGTTACCCCGATTTTTCACCAAAGGAATGGTAAGATCCCTGGCCTTCGGTTTCATTAGATAAATTTGTGCCTCTTCAATCTTAACCTGTCTGACAGTTTGTGACTGTTTGGAAAAATGCTTATTTGAATGCTGCTACATTTAAACCTTGAACTCTCCCTCCCACTCCCTGGGTGACATGTCCATCCTGGGCCTCCTCCAGTGTCACAATGGCACTCCCCCTCATCTGCAAACTGGAGGAGCAACACCTCATATTCCGCCTCAGGAGCTGAAGCCCTATGCCCTAAACATGGAATTCACCAGTTTTAAAATCTCCCAACCCCCGACCTCATCCCATGTCTAACCCTCCCTCTCGTCCCCGCCTCCATGACCTGACACAACCTATCCATCTTCTCTCCCATCTATCCGGCCAACTCACCCCACTGACTAATCCCCACTACCCCTTACCTGCACTCACCTATCACCATCCCACCTACCTTCCCCAGCCCCACTCCTCCTCTCTTGATTTATTTCCCAGCTCTCTTCCCCCTCCCCATTTCTGAGGAAGGGTCCCGATCCAAAACATCAACTTTCCTGCTCCTCTGCTGCCTGCCTGCTGTGTTCCTCCAGCTGCTCACTGTGTTGTCTCTGTCTCTGACTCCAGCATCGGCAGTTCTTGTTATCTCTTGGCAATCTAGTGCCTTTATTACCATGCCATTTCTGGGAGAGCTGACAACAGATCAGAACTTACTTTTGTATTGTACCATTTTTGAACATCAGATGATGTTTTCAACGGGCTCTTTTATCTTTCCTTTTTTAGGAGTTCAACCTGAACCTTCTGATGCCCAGCTTGGCTTTTGGTTTGCGTGGAATCTCTGCAGATCAAACTAGTGTGCTTTTTGAAACTGCCAGGAAAGTCACCTTGGACCACGTGGCATTCCATGTCCAGCACCTTCCTGGCAAACATCGGGTGTTCCAAAGGCTGTGTCCTTTGCCCCATTCCTCCTATTGGAATAAGATTGGTGAGCTTTATGGTAAGAGAACACTGCTGCAAATGGAGAAATCAAAGAATGAAGTTAAGACATGGACAGGAAAGAGTTGTATGGATGTAGCATCTTCCATGATGTTTGGATGTTCCTAATTGTTTTCCTGCTAATAATATACTTTTGAAGTGTAGCCATGATTGCAACACAGAAAATCCAGCTGTTCATTTGCACACCTGAAATATCCATGTGATAATGACCAGAAAATCTGATGGCCATGTTGTTTTGAGGGATGTATATTGGCTCAGACACATGGCATAACTGCTGTTTTTCTTCTTTTACATTCACAAGAAGGGCAGGCGCATTTAACGTCTCATTTGAAAGATAGCATGTTCGCGTAGCACTCCCGCCGTGCTAAAACTTCAGCCTTGATGTCTGGAATGGGCCTTGAATGTTATGAACCAGAGGCAAGAGTGTGATCGATGAAGCAGCTGCTGAAACTTTGAGAGGCAGACAAAGTAAATAGATAGTCAGAGAAGCCTTCATTAAGAAAATGGTTGAAAACGTTTGGGGAGAAAGAGGGAAAATATAGTTGAAACCAACAACAGAGTACCACAAAACGTATTGGAAAGTGGAAATAGTACTTGGGAAAAGACGTACAATTCATTTCATTTTTCTGTCCTTGATCGTCATTTTGGAAGATTAGTTATGCTGTTCTTAAAATTGAGTTTTTAAAAAATATTTGTGAGTTGAGGGTCACTGGCTGGGCCAGCACTTGTTGGTTATCCTTCATTAGCGAGTAAGTGCTGGTGAGCCATCTTGTTGAACCGCTTTAACTGTTTAAAAAATTGTTTTCTTTTAGTCTGAGCCAGATTATCTTTTGCTGTTTTTATCGAAATGGTTGTGATTAAGCCACATACATTTATGAAATGTTTTGTTTTACAGGGGATATGCAGTTCTATCATTCAGTTATTAGTCTGTGCAATGCCGTGGCTCAATACCTTCTCTCTCTGCCCAAACTGCCACCAGCTCTTCAGATTCCCACCGACAAACAGGCTGATATTGCCAGCTTCATGGTCTTGTCTCTGGAGGTAAGGCTTGGAAACTTAAAGCAAAAAGACAACTTTGGATGCATTGACCAGAGTACACGCACATTTTTGGAAAGTTTACATTGGCTTTCAGGTCGAATGCCACAGTTTTGTTGAGGGAGATGTAGATGGGCTTTCATTCTATTTTGCCATGTCCACTTTTTTGTGTAAACATGCTCTGTTGAACCCATTGTGTTTGAGACCACAGTATGACAGTTTCATAGTCAATTACACTTAGCTTTCAAATCAAGAGCAGGAATAGGCCATTCAGCCCTTTGAGTCTGTTCTGCTATTCAGTAAGATTAAGGCTCCTCTGACTGCAACCTCAAACCTGCATTCCTGCCTATCCCAGACAAACTTTCCGCAGTTCTGAGGAAAGGTCACTGGACCTGAAACGTTAACTGATTTTTTTTTTTTTTTTTTTTCTTCACCGATGCTGCCAGACCTGCTGAGCTTTACCAGCAACTTCTGTTTTTGTTTTAAACTTTGCTAAGAATCCATCTACCCCTGCCTTAAAACTATTCAAAGATTCTGCTCCACCACCTTTTCAAGAACAGAGTCCCAATGATTCTCAACTCTCTGGTTGAAATCATTTCACCTCAACTTTCTTTTAAATGGGTGCCTACTGATTTTTAAACTGTGACCCCTAACTCAAGGTGCTCCAATGAGAGAAGCCAACCTCTCCATATCTGCACTGACAGGACCCATCAAGTCTTTGTTTCGATCAAGGATTAATATCTTTAGGGTATGGAAATTTGCTGTCTTTGCCCACTCTGGCCTGCATGTGACTCCAAACCCAAAGCAATGTGATTGACTCTTAATTTGCCTGTGAAATTGCCAAACAAGCTACTCTTTTTTTCAACGATAGGTGGGGATGGGCAGCTCAACCCCCACACCCCATGAAAGAATAAAGATTAAAAGAAAATCACTGTTTACTCTTCTAAACTTGAGCAGACATACTCCGCTTCCAACGTAGTTGCATCTTTCCTTGAATAAGATGATCAGTACTGTGCACAATACTTCAGATGCAATCTTACCAGTGGTATCTATTTCTGTGTTACGTTCCCCTCGGAATAAATGATAATATTCGATTACCTTTCCTGATTACCTGTTGTACCTGCATATGAACCTTTGTGATCCATTCACCAGGATAGCCAGATCCCTCTGCTTCTCAGAGCACTGCAGTCTCTCACTGTTTGGATAATATGCTGCTTGCTTATTTTTAGTTCCAAAATGGATAATTTTGTGTAATCCTACATCACACTCCATTTGTCAGATCTTTGCCCACTCTCACACTATCTGTATACTCCATACTGTCCTAATGTCCTCGTCACAACTTAACTTTCTGCCTATCTTTGTGTCATCAGCAAATCTGCAACCATACCTTTTGTCCCTTGTCCAAGTCATTTATATAAACTTTAAACATTTAAGGTCCAACACAATACACAACAATCTTAAGAAAAGGGTTCCAGGATTTTGAGCCACAGGCAGATAAGCAATATAGTTATTCAGGATGGTGAGTGGCTTGGAAGGGAACTTGAAGGTGGTAGTATTCCCATGTACCTACTGTCTTTGTCATTCTAGGTATTAGAGATTGTGGATTTGGAAGGTGCCTTGGTGAGTTATTGACTCTTGTAGATGGGGCACAGTGCTGCCACATGGCTCAGGAATGAGGGAATGAATTTTGAAGATCATGGATAAGTGCCATTAAGTGAGCTGCTTTGTCCTGGAGATGTTAAATCATAGAATCATAGAATCCCTGCAGTGTGAAAACAGGCCATTCAGTCCGACAAGTCCACACCGTCCCTCTGAAGAGCATCGCACCCAGACCCATTCCTCTACCCCTGTATTTCCCATGTCTAAGCCACCTAACCTAAACATCCCTGGGCACTATGGGCAATTTAGCACAGCCAAGCCACCTACCCTGCACATCTTTGGACTGTGGGAGGAAATCGGAGCACCCAGAGGAAACCCATGCAGACACGGGGAGAATGTGCAAACTCCACACAGTTGCCCAGGAGTGGAATTGAACCCGGGTCCCTGGCACTGAGGCAGCAGTGCTAACCACTGAGCCACCGTGCTGCCTTATTGAGTGTTGATGGAACTGTACTCCTGATTTCTAAATGGTGGACAAGCACTCAGGAGTCGGAACGTGAGCCGTTCTGATCAGAATTGCTAGCCTCTAACCTGCTGTTATAATTACATTATTTATGGATACAGTTAAGTTTCTGGTCAATAGTAATCCGAGGATGGCAAAGATGGGCATTCAGTGATAGTAATACTATTGAATATAAAGATTCAATACTTAGATTTTCTCTTTTTGGAGATGATTCCTGTAGCATTTGAATAGTGCAAATTTTACTTGTTACTTATCACCCAAGCTCTGGATAAAGTTCAGTTATTGTTATATATGGATCCAGACTGTTTTAGCGTATGAGCATACTTGATTCAAATTCTCAAACTGTGCAGATGTTTTCTGAATTATAGGTCTGGTAGTAGGTAGGGTGGGTGCGCATGTCAGGTTAATAGTTCATTTTTATTTTTATATAAATACCCAACTTGTATAGAATGTACAACAAGAGAAACAAGCCATTTAACCTGAACAGTTTTTTTTCTGTTTAAATATACTCTACAAGCCTTACCTTAATTTGTATTAATTTGTAATACCTTTAATATAACTGATCCGCCAAGAGGCTTCACAGGAGACAAATAAGCCCTGAGTGAAGTTTAGAGAGGACTGGCCTGAGACAGCTGTATGGCTAATTAGGTTGGGTTTTTGATGCATTTTTAGAAACCGAGGAAATCCCAGTTAGCTGTAGATTTTTAAAACCTGTGATTTGGTAGCTTGGTACAGTAAGTGGTTCAGTCTGTAGACTTTGATTTTCTATATTTGAAATAACTAGAGCAGTAAATGTGAGAACATTTTACCAAGTGTTTTAATTGAACCAGAAAATGGCCGAATGCTGGCAAACTGACACAAGGGAAAAGCCTGTGAATATGCAGCAAATTGGCCAGCAATAGAAGAGGCTAAAGAACACTAAAGTATTTGAACTTTAGGCCCATCTCCCCTCCCCTCAGAAGCTTTAAGAACTGCTAAATACTTCAACAATGCCAGCAGGCTATGATGAAGCATTTGGGTGGAAAGGTACAGGGTGGAGGCTACTTTGGAACATAATCTGGTCAATGCTGATGTTTAACTAAATGATCTATATCAGTGCAGTACATTCTCTGTATTTCTGTGTGCCCATTGCTATAATGTTCATGCCATTAATTATGGAAATATGATTTTGTCATTGTCATTCAGGCACTGTGTTGGCAGTTGATGCATGATCAGGTTCCATTAAGTCTGGACTTACAAGCTGCTCTGGATTGTTGCTGCTTAGTTTTACAGCAGCCTGACATTTGGAACCTGCTGGCCTCTGTGACCTACGTAACTCAAGCTTGCTCAGTTATCAACTGCATCCGGTTCATCATTGAAGCAAGTAAGGATTTGTTTTTATCCGTTGGTCAGGGCAATTAAGTACGAGCTGATCTATTAAGCCTATTCCATACTGTGATGTCTGGAGTATCATGACAATGTGCTTTCTCTCACTCTTCTACTACTTCTAACTCTGTAACCATGAGAGATGAAAAATTATGAAAAATTCTTAAGTTGATCAAAATGGCCCAGTCCAGAAACACTCATGAACCAAATGCTATCTGCAAGGACACGCGTTCTATAAGATGTGATTTCAGGTTCAATTCTCTCGGAGGCATGAAGAAAGTCAGCACTAACCAGCAGTTTAACACAGATTCCTGGCTCTCTGGGACATTCTCATTCTGCTTGAGTTAAGCATTCGCTTCATGCTGGTGTGATAGTCTTCAGTTTGAAGCTTATAATAAATCTGTTTAACCCATTATATTTACCACAGTTCCCCATAGGCCAATCCCTGTCACCCAATAAGTTTATTTCCTTCAAGTGTCCATCCAGTTTTCTTTTGCAATCATTCATATGTATTTCCACTATCGTCATGGGCAGGAAGTTCTAGGTCATTGTCACTATCTGTGCAAGTTCAAATGCTCTTGGATCTCTATCCCCTCGTTCTTGTATCATCACTTTTTTTTTTAATCTTGTTTGACTCATCCAAATTGTTAGAATCTTGTACACCTCTATCAGATCTCCCCTCAGTCTCCTATGCTGCCTTGTCTTGTGGCTCCACTGCATTAGATTGCCAAATCAGTGCTAACTGAAGAGCAGGTTGGTGCTGAGAGTCAGCTGGAATCAGACTGAAAATGCCCAGAAATATTTTCTACGAGCAACTTGGACCTAGCATGTGGATTTGTATCATTACAGTTTGGGTTGGTGATGCACAAGTACTCTTAAAACGATCATTCTAATGGATTAGACAGTTATTAATGATGAAAGTTCACTTTGAGTTAAATATTTTCAAAATGTTGCTGCCCATCTGTAGAAACCTTTTTTCCCCTCTGTTTACTTAGTGACAGCTTTGGTAATAGTGATAGTTCTGCTGTTTTTGGATTCTGACATTTCCTCAGGAATGAGGGCAAAGGAGAGCTCTCAAGGTTGTGTCAGTGTCCGCCTAGCATATATTATACTGTTTGGCCGAACTGGTTTATGCTTTAAATGGGCATTCTCCCAACCTCCTTCATTTAACATTAAGTGTAATTTTGGTCCACTTTGTGTTTCTGTAATGGTGTTAAAGTTCAGCTTTTGCAAGTAATTATTTGCCCTGTTCATTTAGTTAGTTTGAAGGAAGCTGTTCCTTAGAATGACAAGTCTCAATCCTCAAAGATTTGCTTAAAAATCTTGAGTTTATTGGTTTCAGCTTCACTAATGCTGTCTAACTTCCTGTGCTTGTGATTCATACTATCTGTTTATTTTAGTGGCAGTTGAGCCAGGAGAGCAGCTGCTTTTGCATGAGGAGAGGAGAAAGTCAAATCCTGATGAAACTACAGTTGTGGATGAAGAGAGCGAGGATGTGTTTGAGCGTAAGTAGATTTGACTTCACATTGTCCCCTAAGAAACTCCAATTATCTTAGCAATCTACAGACATTTGAATACAGAAGTTCATTCAAATTTATATTCTGTAGTTTTTGGAGGTATTGACCCCACCTGCACCAGAGCTGTGGTGATTTACAGCAGAATAGAGGCCATTCAGCCTATTATATTGTTCAGTCCTTTTCTCCTGTTCTGTTCTCTGCCCACAGTCTTGTCTGTTGCTTCAGACATTTAGTCAGCTTTTGCTTAAACACTAAAGGTTTCTATCTCAAACACACCCTTGAGCATCTCGTTTCATGCTCCAACAGTCCTCCGTGTGACAGAATTTCTCTGAAATTTCTCTCCCTACTCTCTTAAAGACAGTTGTAAATTAGTGACTCTGCATCACCAATTTCTCAGGCAGTCTTTCCCTATTCATTCTAATAAACCCCTTCAGCCCGGGGAGGCGATGGCCTAATGGTATTATCGCTAGACTATTAATCCAAAGACCCAGATAGTGTTCTGGGGACCCAGGTTCGAATCCTGCCATGGCAGATGGTGGAATTTGAATTCAGTAAAAATACCTGGAATTAAGACTCTAACGGCGACCGTGAATCGATTGTCGGAAAAACCCATCTGGTTCATTAATGTCCTTTAGGGAAGGAAACTGCAATCCTTACCCAGTCTGGCCTACATTGAATCCAGACCCACAACAATGTGGTTGACTCTTAACTGCCCTCTGGGCAATTAGGGACGGACAATAAATGCTGCCTAGCCAGCGACATTCTCATCCCGTGAATGAATGAAGAAAAAGAAATAATAACTTTAAAAACCTTTTGAACCTCCGTTTTGATTGCACTGAAGATAGATTTAGCATCTTGTGTCTTCTCTTTACTGTGTGTTACATGCTGACATCATCCTGATGAATCATTGCCATTCTATAATGAAGTTCCCAAACCTGTGCACAATGCTACAGCTGAGGTGTAACCAAAATATAACTGCATCATTAGGCAAGTTGGTGGAATTGGTAGGCAGACAACAGATGAAATTGAATACAAAGACCTCAACCCTAAACTTATTTAAAAGGAATCTGAATGTGCATCTGCGAGGCTACAGACCAGGTACTGGAAAATGGAATTACATTGGGTACACAGTTTATTCATACAACTCTGGCATGATGGGCTGAAAGACCTGTTTTATGCCATAATTTGTTTTCGGGTTCTATAGAAATGTGAAATGTTTTATTTTGGTAGGAAGACCACAGAGACAATATGAAATAGAGTACAATTCTGAAAGGGTACAGGAGCAGAAGGACCTTTGTATAGATGTGTATAAATCAATTTCTTTCACTTGTGGGATGTGGATGTTGTTCGTCCCTAGTTACTTTTGTGAGGGTGGCAGTGAGCTGTCTTGTTAAACCGCTGCAGTCTTTGTGCTGTAGGTGAACCCACATGTCTTTAGGGAGGGAATTCCAGAATTTTGATCCAGCAACAGTGCCAGGTAAGTGGATTGCGGGGAGACTTGCAGGTGGTGGTGTTCCAATATATATGCTGTCTTTATCTTTCTAGATGGGAAGTGGTCAAGGGTTTGGAAAGTGCTGTCTAAGGATCTTTCGTGAACTTCTGCAATGCATCTTGTACCCTGCTGCTACTGTGTATATGTGGTGAAGGGAGTGGATGCTTGTGGATGTGGTGCCAATCAAGTCGGCTGCTTTGTTCTAGATGGTGTCCAGCTTCTTGAATGTTGTTGGAGCTGCACCCATCCAGGCATTAGGGAGTATTCCATCACACTCCTGACTTGTGCCTTGTAGACGGTAGGCAGGCTTTGGGCAGTCAGGAGGTGAGTAACTTGTTGCAGTATTCCTCATCTCTGACTTGCTGTTGTAGCCATCGTGTTTGTGTGACGTGTCCACTTGAGTTTTTGGTCAATGGTAACCCCAAAGATGTTAATAGTGGGGAACTCGGTGATGGTAACAGCATTGTGATTCGTGCTGTCTGTTTATTTCAGTGGCAGTGGTGGTGATTAGATTTGTCTCTTATTGGTGATGGCCGTTGTGTGGCATTTGTGTGGAGTGAATATCACTTGCTACTTGTTAGCGCAAGCCTGGATATTGTCTGAATCTTGCTGCATTTGGACATGGGCTGCTTCAGTGAAAGTGTCAGAATAGATTGAGAGTGGTTAATAAAATTTTTATTAATAGGGGCAGAGATATAAGAGTAAGGAGGTTTAGTTGAACTTGTATGAGTGTCTAGTTTGGCCTCTGCTGGAGAATTGCATCCAATTCTGGACCTTGCAGAAGATATGCAAAGGATGGGAGAGATCCAAAAAAAATGAAAAAATTTTAAAAAGGAAAAATTTGTTCATTCAAAGCAATTTCAACATGATGGCTTGAATGGTCTGCTTGTGTCTGGTACTAATTCTGTGATTGTCACAAGACATGTAGAATTAGAATAGCACAGCACAATTGAGGCCAATTGGCCTATCAAGACTGTGTCAATTTCTTCAAAGAATTTGTCCCAATCTTTTCATTCTCTCTGCAGTATTTTCTCTTTTGCGCCTTTACCCAATGCCTTTTGAGAGCTCATATTGAATCTGTATCCATCAACTTGGCAAACAGCGCATTCCCAATTCCCTAATCACTTCCACCAAAAATAATTTTCCTTCTGGTGTCTGGTTTGATCACCAAAAACAGAAAATTCTGTTGGCTTCATATGCTGAGCTATTGCCTTCAGCGAGTTGTGTTTTGAACTCCAGGTCTCTCTGCTCACTCGTTCCCTTCATTGTCTTTCCATTCAGTGTGGATTTCTGTTGAGGTGACTGCGATAATTGCAAACAGTGATTCATTTCTTCTCAGTGACCCATTTGCCTGTGTTATAAGTTTGTAAATGTCAATCTTGACCATTAACAGACAGGAGCATCACATAACCAACTTTTACTTGCATTGCATTTTTCATGACCTGAGGATGTCAATAGTGCCAGACAACTGGTTGGAATGTTGTCATTATTGTCATGTAGAAAGTAAAGCAAGCAGTTTTCTTGTAGTAAGCTCCTTCAAACAGCAATGAAGTGATTTATTCTCATGATATTGTTTGAGTGACAGTGTTAGCCAGTACACTTTTGCTGCTCAAATTATGGAATGAGAGCTACCACATCCATCTGAACAGGTAAAGAAAATCTTGCTTTAAAATCTCATCCAAGAGGTGACATTTCTGGTGTTGACGTAAGGCTGAGGGATTGCTACAATATATCATAGTTATTTTACTTAACCAGTTTGGACATGTTATGGTATATTTCTGAGTTAAGTAGGACTTGAACCTGGAGGCAAGGACACTACCAATGTGTCACAAGATCCTCTGCACGAAGAAGTGTTGGTGCAATGTGATTAAGTTAAGGAGCAAAGTTTTTGAACCCATTCACCTCTAAGAAACCAGTTGACTCCTGATTGAAGTGGCAGCATTCTTTCAGTGGACAAATTACTTTAAAATTGATGCTTTGGGACAAAGACAAAATACAAATTTTTCAGATTTGGGTAAAGACGATATATTTTTTCACAAGAAAGTGACCAAACTCTCTTTTAAAGCTCTCAGTGCAATAGCCTACACACAAGTCCAAATGAAGGTGTTTGTTGCACAGTAACCAATTTACATCATTTTGAGATGTCGCGGAGAAGTCTTAAGCTGGTAAACGTGAAAGTCTATCTCTCTTCTAGTTGGCATTTTCAGTTGTTTTTCCTTCTTACTTGGCTGTACCGCTTAGACTATAGTATTTTGTTTTACAGTTATCATTAAGGTGGTGCTGTTTTACCCCTTTAGTTTCCTTCTATTTTAGGATCCAAGTGCATTACGAAGGCCTGTAATGTGATGACTGAAATGGTGGAGTGTCTCCAGACAGTACTGTCCTCTGGGCATGCCAGCAACACACGAATCCCAGCATTCCTGAACCCAACTCTTAGGAATATTGGTATTAGCTTAGCCAGACTGCCTCTGGTTAACAGCTACACCCGTACCCCTCCATTGGTGAGTGAGTGACTTTGTGTTTGCTCTTGAAGCTTTCATCTGAAGCAGTCTGACGTTTTAGTAGAAAATTGTTGAAATATTACTGATGAGCTTGACAATGAGATTGCTTCCATGTTCTGGATTTCCAGAACATGTGACACAGCCTCAAGTTAAGGGCATAATCATTTAGGCCTGAGGTGAGGTGAAAGTTGTGAATTTTTGAAACTCTCTATCTAGGGATGCCACTTTATTGAATATATTCAAGGTTGAGATGAACTGGTGTTTGAGATCTCGGGGAGTCAGTGTATTGGGGAGCAGATGAGAACTGATGGCAGACAATAAGCCATGAGCTCATTAAATGGTAGAGCAGAGTTGAGGGACTGTCTGATCTACTGCCCCCTCCTGTTTTTTATGTTCTGTGTTCATAAAATAATTTGCAAACTAACAGTGCATCATGTAGGAAATTGTATAATCTGCCCCACATGGGCATATTATTCTGACACCAGGCTACTGGGCTATGTTTTCTTAGTGGTGGAAAAGGAATTAAGCTAACTGTTGGGAATCTGAAATTAAATCAGAAGGTTGTTGAAGTGGACATCAACCATTCACATCTGAAAAGAAAGTTGAGTTGACAAATGTGGAATTTTCAGAATGTGCTGTATGAGGGATAATGTGATTGGAGCATTAATTCAACTTATGTAATTTCTGTTAGTATTTACCATTTCCGTACTTCTTAAGTTCAGCAAATACATGAAATTCAGTCATTGGTTTAATTAGTTTCTCAACTTAAATTTTCTCATGTCTCGTGATACAATCCTGTGGAAAACCTCTCTAATTCTATGTATAGACCAGTGTGTTTTCTGGTCAGTTTAACCTTAAACCAAGTAAAACATCCTAATTAGTTTTCTTCACTCTGTCCTCATTCCTCTTCAATTCCTTACCTTCATCGACATTTCGAGTCTAATCATGAATGTTAACTTTGTTTCTTCGACCACTAACCTTTGGAATTGCATTCTATATTCGCACTACTCTCTGTCAAGAACTTCCCCCCGCACTCTGTTATAATGCATTATGTGGTCTCTGGAATTGCAACCTCAGGAGCCCCAGTTTAAAAATCAAGGCCTTCCATTTGAGACTGAAGTGAGGATTTTTTCCCCCTCTGGTTGCAAGTCCAGCTTGCATCACTTAACATATCTTTTTCTTTATTTTAAATACTGCTATAAATTGGACTCCTAAGCTGCATCATTCTAACAGGAAAAGACCTAATTTTTCAAGCCTTGCTTGATTTTTGTGTTTCCTCATTCTTGAGACTCATTACCCTAATCTTGCCTCACTCGGTCTATAGTTCCTTCTAAAGCCTTCAGACCTGATGCTATCTGATTACCCCTCCTTGTATATCTTGCTTTCTCTCTTTCAATTTTGGTGTTCTGCACTATGGCCTTTTCTTTTAAATCTGGTCTCTTCTCCTTAATTTTCATTTCATTAAGAAATGGCGCTTGCCAAATTGTTCAGTTATATCAAGTTTCTTATTCTGCCTCAGTTTAAACATTCATGGCTGCTGGGTAATGTAACAAGTAACAAAAGTGATGTACTAATGACTTGTGAAACTGTCAAGAACATTGTTTCCTACATGTTAGGCTTTGGGACATTGCAAATCTTGACTTGGATTAAGCAGATAAAATAAGAACCTGCATGTCACAGACTTCATTAAATGTGAAATGCTCCCTTGTCATTAACTCTGCATTGAATTTACTCAGGTGTGGAAGTTGGGATGGTCACCACAAACTGGGGGTGAATTTGGTACAACTCTTCCTGAAATTCCAGTTGAGTTTCTACAGGAAAAAGAAATCTTCAAAGAGTTCATCTATAGGATAAACGTTCTTGGTAGGTGGCAAAAATTTCAGTGAAAATGCACACCTTGCTGTGGATATTGCTGACTGTCATTTATAGTGAGAGATGATAATAGTAAAACATAAGATGCAGCAGGGTCTTTACAGTGACAATGTTGAGGGGATTTTTTTTCCTGTGGGGGGAGTCTAAAACAAGGGTCCACTGTTTCAAAATCAGAGCATCACATTTAATACTGAGAAGAAAAGATGTTTTTTCTCTTATGATTGTGTAAATCTGTGGAATTCTACTTCCCAGAAAGAGTGGAGGTTTTGAGTAGCAGAGGTAGAGTTACAGCTCTTTGATTGATAAGGGAGTTTAGGATTAAGGGGTCCAGACTGAAAACTAGTTAATGCCACAGTCACATCAGCCATGATCTTCTCAAATGCTGGAGCAGGCTTGATGGCCCAGTGCCCTACTCCTAATTCTTCTGTTCCTGTTCTCGCAGAAGTTGATTAGAAGTAGCTTTCATAATGCAGCATTATTCTGTGGTTTTTGTTGTGTTCTTGGACTCTATTGGCCAAGCTCCAAACTTTGGAAGAATTCGTTGAGTTATAACATAGACTGCGTTGAAATGAAATCAGAAATAGTATGTACAATTCCTTCCATTTCAGGGTGGACAAGCCGCACTCAGTTTGAGGAAACCTGGGCAACCCTTCTTGGTGTTCTTGTGACTCAACCACTAGCGATGGACCAGGAGGAGGAAGTTCCACAAGAGGTACAACCAGATGGCTGTGATGATTAGAGACATATTCTAACTGAGCTGTTGAAGATGATGGAAGGAGTTGTTAGGTTGATGGAGCGAAAGCATTTCCTCTGAAAGAGGCCAATATTTAGATATTCTAGTTAGACCATCTAAGATTGATATCAGGAAATGCCCCTTCACACAATGTATAATGGAATTCTAAAAGTCTTTACCCAAGAAGCTGTTGAGGATTTAGGGGGAACAATTGAAAAATTCAAAATTGAGATTGTAACATTTTTATAGGCTATAGGGATTAAGGCTTACAAAGCTAAGGTGGGTCAATGGAACTATGATACAATCACTCATGATCCAATTGATGAACTAGACTTGTGGGACTGAACAGACTTCTGTTCCTGTGCTTTGCGCACCTGATATTTTTGCTTTTTTGCTCATTTTCATAATTTGGATGCATGCTTTTGCTATTATGTCTCCATTGTTGTAACAGCACCCTCTTGATATTTTTACTAGGAGGACACAGAGAGGACCCAGATTAATATTCTTGCAGTGCAAGCAATAACGTCCTTGGTGCTAAGTGCTATGTCAATTCCAGTGGCAGGTAATCCAGCCACCAGCTGTCTCGAACATCAGCCTCGTAATAAAGCTCTGAAGGCTCTGGATACAAGGTCAGTTGTATTGAGTCATATATTATAGAAACAGACCCTTTGGTCCAATTTGTCCACACTGACCAGACATCCCAATCTGACCTAGTCCCAATTGCCAGCATTTGGCGCATATTCTTCTGAACTCTTCCTGTTCATGTACCCTTCCAAATGTTGTAAATGTACCCCCCACCACCATTTCCTCTGGCAGCTCATTCCATACATGTACCACTCTCTGTATGAAAAAGTTACCCCTCGGGTCCCTTTTAAAAATTTTCCCCTTTCACCTTAAACCTATGACCTCTAGCTATGGACTCCCCCATCTTAGGAAAAAGACCTTGACTATTCACCCTATTCCCATGCCCTTCGTGACCTTATAAACCTCAAAAAGGTCACCCGACAGTCTCTGATGTTCCAGGGAAGAAAGTCCCAACCTATCCTTGTAAATCTTTTCAGCATCCTCTCAAGTTTAACAACATCCTTCCTACAGACAGGTGACCAGAATTAGAACATAGAACAGTACAGCACAGTACAGGCCCTTCGGCCTACCATGTTGTGCTGACCTATTATCTAACTAAGATCGAACTACCTTGCATACCCTACATTATACTATCATCTGTGTGCCTCTCCAAGAGTCGCTTAAAAGTCTCTAATGTATCTGACTCCACTACCACTGCTGGCAGCTCATTCCACGCTCTCACCACTGTGTAAAAATTGTACTCAGTATTTCAAAATTGGCCTCATCAATGTCCTGTACAGCCGCAACATGACGTCCCAACTCCTATGCTCGGTGTTCAGACCAATAAAGGCAAGTGTGCCAGACACCTTCGCCACCCTGTCTACCTGTGATTCCATCTCAAGGAACTTTGCACCTGCATGCATGGTCCCTTTACTTGGGAACACTCCCCAGGGCCCTACGATTAACTGTGTAAGTCCTGCCCTGGTTTGCCTTACCAAAATGCAATATCTTTATCTAAATTGAACTCCATCTGTCAATTCTTGGTCTTAAAGGTCCCGTTGTACTCTGAGATAATCTGTGAGATAGAAAGTTGCGAACTTACTAACCATACTTCCAATATTCACATCCAAATCATTTATATGATTGACAAAAAGCAGTGGACCTAAAACTGATCTTGTGGCACACCATTGGTATAGATAAATCTTGTGTATATCCAACTACAAAACAAAATTGACCTGCTATTTTTTATTTTTGTAAGAATGTCTGTCTTAGCAACAACTTGCATTTATACAGTGCCTTTAACAGAGCAGAACTTTCCAAGGTGCTTCGCAGGATCATTATCAAGCACACATAGCAAGCTCATAAATTGAATAAAAAAGCTTATGGTTTTAAAGAGAGCACACTTTCTCCTTGCCTGAAGTTTTGAACTTTGATGGAATTTCAGACATAATACTTGTCAGGCCTGACATTTTGGCAATTCTGTTCACAGGTTCGGGAGAAAATTGAGTGTCATTCGAGGAATAGTGGAGAAGGAAATCCAAGCAATGGTATCAAAAAGGGACAACATAGCAACACACTACCCTTATCAAGCGTGGGATCCTGTTCCATCTCTCTCCCATTCAACATCTGGTATTTATGCTCAATATTCAACCCGCTAGTTAGTCAATATTCATGTGCTGAACGTCTGTTGAATTTCATAACTTGTCTCTGGTAGTTTTGGATCTGGAATAGTGCGTCAGCCATTGTTATGTTGAATGGCAGAGCAGCCACGATAGGCTGAATAGATCTACTACTTCCTATGTTTTAAGAATTCCTTATGTGATGTTTTTGTTCAGAATGTTGAGAGGATGTAGGCTGTTAGAGGGATTGGTGGGGGGAGTGGGGCATGGGAAAGAATCCTCCACAGTGTGTATGTTGTGTGTAGTGGGTCAAGAACACGCAATTAAACTCTGCTTTCGTGTGTGGAGAGAGTTGCAAGTGAGAGACCCTGAGGGAGATCCACAGCTGGATTATATTTTCGAGCGAAGTTCTAGTAAACATTGCTGTGTGAATCTCTGCAACGATGCACATTTTGCAATCTTTTCCAGCTTTGTAAAGTAAATAAAGACTGCTAAACATGATCAAACTCTGCTTAATTCTTCAATGATAATTAATTGCAGCAATACATTATTTATTGAATCTGTTTTTAACCAACTTACTGTGGTTTTTTTTTTCCAACTATATTCAATCCAGGTGTCCTGATAAGCCATGAAAAGCTTTTACTGCAGATAAACATGGAACGGGAAATGGGGAACATGGATTATAAACTGGGGCAGGTATAGTGAAAGTGCATTTGATGTTCAGTGTCTACAGGTTATTTTGCACTGTAGAATTTCACAGCTGAGCACTACTCCATTCCTGCTCTCTGATCTGTATATGTGCGTTTTCACAAATAACAGGAAGGAGGTTTTGTACAAGTGTTATGTCCCAGCTGACGTTATCATTGGACAAGTCAGATCCCAAATAGAAACCTGGCTTGACAGATCATATTTTGTTCAGTTTTATTTTTAACAAAGTGGTGTTTCACTGAAAAACAAGCATGTAGTGCTATAATAATAAAACAGAAGTTTATTAACAAAGGAAGTGAAGAAAAATATAGAATAAACCAAGCTATCTACTTATAATACAAATTCAAAGATTTTTAAACACCCAGTAAAACTTTAATCCTATTAATCCCAAACAGTGCTTTACAAATTGATAGAAAAACAATAGTTTTTATATATTACTCAAAACACACCCCGGTACAGTGCCAAAACACCACTCATGCGTTACTTGCACCAGGGCCCCTTTATCCAACATCTTGATAGATTTAAATCACTTGTGACTTCAAATTTTAGACTGGAACTGCAGAGAATGTCATAGGAAATAGGATCAAGAGTAGGCTATTAGGCTCCTTGAGCCTGCTCCACCATTCAGTAGGATCATTGCTGATCCAAAGTTCCTCATGTCCACTTTCGCCTTTTTGCCATAACCATTGATTCCCCACTGATCAAGAATGGCAGATCAATTATGCCTTAAACATGCAAAAGGACTTTGTCTTCACAGCTGCTTGTAGCAAGGAGGTCCAAAGATTCTCAACCCTATGAGAAGAAATTCCTTCTCATTTCAGCCTTAAATTGTTGCCCCTAAATTCTGAGACTGTACCCTCTGGTCTTAGACTCTTCCATGAGGGGAAGCGTCCTCTCAGCGTTAACCTTGTGAAGTCCCTTAAGAATCCAGTATGTTAGTATATATTACAGTGGTTCGAGTCCCAGCCTGTTTGACTTTTGCTGATGAGACAGTCCCTCGTAACAAAGATCATCCCAGTGAACCTTCTCTGAACTGCCTCCAATGAAATGCCTTTCCTTAAATAAGAGGACCTAAATTACTTACAGTACTCCACATATGGTCTCACCAGCAACTTGTACAGTTGCAGTAAAACTTTCCTACTGTTATACTCCAACCCCTTTGAAATAAGAGACAACATTCCATTAGCCTTCCTGATTACCTGCTGCACCTGTGTGGTAGCTCTCCCTGGTTCATGCACAAGTCCCCCCAAGTCCCTTTGTGTTGTAGCTTTCTACAGGTTCTCTCCATTTTAAATAATATTTTGTTCATTTGGTCTGTATTCCAAAATGAATAACTTTACTTTCTTTCCCCCCATTATACTCCATTTGCCAACATTTTATCTATTTACTTAACCTGTCGATATATCTGTAAACTGTATTCTCCTCACCACTTCCTTTTCTACCTTTTTTTAAGTTCTTCTAGGAACTATGCATCTGTACTTAGCTTTAAGTAACCTCTTCAGGGTACTATCCCAACATTTCTGGGGCTAGCACTAACTCTCACTTTAAGATGACCTAGTTCACTTTTGTTCCTTCTCTTCTCAGGGGCACTGGTCTATTCAGCCATCCTATTCTATAGACTTCCCAGGACTGCCCAAATTCAAAGTAAAGCTTTTTTTCTAAATTTTTTTTTCCTTCGGTTTACAAAAAGCAAGTTCCAGAAATCTCTACAAATGTTGAGGTCCTGTTATTTACCTTGCCGGGTCACAAGCTAACCTAAGAGAAACAAAAAAAGTATATATTAGTCATGCACAAAAATCCATTCGTTCTAAAGCCAGGCTTCAAAGTGTTTTATAAAAAATCGTCATGGTTACATAGAGTTAATGATTAACTTCAGACCCACAAAAGTCACAGGTTTCGAACTCAAGAGCCAAAACTCAAACTTGCAATAAATGACATTAAATATCTCGGATGTCCTCGTTTTTCAAGGACCGCAACTTCCACACCCCTGCCCCCCCCCCCCCTCAGTGGCCGAGAACGCCTTCGACCGTGTCTCCTGCATTTCCCGCAACTCATCCCTCACACCCCTCCCCGCAATAACAACCAAAACAGAATCCCCCTCGTCCTCACGTACCACCCCACCTAACCTCATCCTGCCCCCTTCACCTGTCCGTCCTCCCTGGACTGACCTATCTCCTCCCTACCTCCCCACCTATACTCACCTTTACTGGCTCTATCCCCACCTCTTTGACCTGTCTGTCTCCTCTCCACCTATCTTCTCCTCTATCCATCTTCTATCCGCCTCCCCCTCTCTCCCTATTTATTTCAGAACCCCCTTCCCCTCCCCCATTTCTGGAGAAGGGTCTAGGCCCGAAACGTCAGCCTTCCTGCTCCTCTGATGCTGCTTGGCCTGCTGTGTTCATCCAGCTCCACACCTTGTTATCTTAAATATGTATAAATTTCTTTGTTTGCACAAAACAAGCGCATCAGTTTGAAGTAGCAGTAAGTCATTTGGCCCCTTGAGCTTGCTCGACTACTCAGTAAGATCACGGTAGTTATGATTATGGCTTCAATTCCATTTACCCAACTACCCACAGTAACATTCACCTCCCTTTATTAGTCAAGGATCTAGCTATCTTCACCTTAAAAACATTCCGTTATTCCCATCTCCACCATTCTCTGGGGAGGAGAGTTCAGCAGGCTTGAGGCTCCTTTAAGATTGCCACGGAGTTTGCTATAAAGTGATGCAGCAACTTTGAAATTTCCTTTGTGTCAACATTTGCCGTTGCAGCAACTGTGATCACCCCATTTACTGAGATATGAGAATCAAATGTCTGACCTCTTAATGCTGTTAACCACTGACTTAGAGTCTTACAACACGGAAACAGACCCTTTGGTCCAACTAGTCCACGCCAAACATTTGTAAGGGATTGCATCTCCACTGTAATGTCCTTCATGACTCAGTAACCTTTTGACACTGGTGGCTTAGGCTTACAGATGTGGAATGGGGTGGTTGGAGGGTTGCTGCTTCGCAATAAAGTTTTTGAGTTCAAAAATCAGGAATAATTGAGGGGAACCTACTAATGTTTGGTAAATTATGTTCTTTACACTTGACATTGAACTCATGAGGTGTTTGTCCACTTTGTGCAGGTCTCCATTCATTCCGTTTGGTTAGGTAACAACATAACCCCTTTGAGAGAAGAGGAGTGGGATGAAGACGAGGAAGATGAAAGTGATGTGCCTGCTCCATCTTCACCTCCAACCTCTCCAATTAACTCCAGGTCAGCCTAGAATTGTCACCCACAAGCAATCTATTAATTCTTATCATCATCTTGCTGAATGCACTAGGTCAGACAGTCCATCTCACTGACCTACCTTTCTACGCATTTAAGAAAAGGTTAGGACCCTATGCTGTGAGCCAAGTGTGCACATAGAACATAGGCACAGTCTATAGAGTAAAATAGAGAAAGGATACGTATCTTTGACAGTAGCAGAACAAGTTAAAAAGGCAATTACAGAAAATATCTTGTGAATATTCATAGAAGACTAGAAGACAAAAGCAGGAAATTATGATCAACCTTTTATAAAGTACAGGTTAATGCTATGTGGAATGTTTCATGCAGTTATGTCCACCACATCTTAGGAATGATGTCCAGAATTTGGGAAGGGCGCAGATGCAATTTACTGGAAAGTTGATTTTAGATGTTGGGAGAAGGTTGATTATTGGCTAAGAGAGAAATTTGATAGAGGTGTTCAAAATAATCAGCTAAAATTGCTAACATAGAGCACCTTCTGTTCTAAGAATACCTGAGCAGGAGTATGCCATTCAGTTTCTTGAGCCACCTCCTCTATTCAATAAGATCATGGCTGACCTGATTGTAAACTCAATTCACATTTCCACCTGACACAGAAAACAAGATATCTACCTCTGCCCTAAAAAAAAAAAATAATTAAGGGCTGTGCTTCCATCATGTTTTCAGGAAGCAAATTCCATAGATCCATGACTCTTGAGAGTGAATATTTCATCTCATCTCTGTTTTAAAGGGTCAACCCCTGATTTTAAACACTGCCCATAAGAGGAATCATCCTCTCCACATGTACTTATCAAGACCTCTCAGGATTTCTTCTATTTCAATCAAGTCATCTCTTGCTCTTCTAAACTCCAGATACATGCCTAGTTGGCCCAACCTTTCTTTTTGAGATATCTTGTTCGTTCCAGTAAACATTCTTTGAGCTGCCTTCTTTACATTCTTCCTTTAAATAAGGAGATCAGGACTGTGTACAGTACGTCACATAGAGTTTCACCACTGGCCTGTATAATGAAATGCATGTTGTGATCCAGCTAATGTTTCCACTGGAAGTGGAGTTCGAGAATTAGGTCTGGTTTAATAGATTATATTTTGCTTTTTTTGTTTAATATGGCAGTCTTTATTTCCTTGCATAATAAACTTCTAACTATAATGCAATTGCTCAATTACAATTAATCACAATTACAGTTGCAGATAAACAAAACTGAGACATTTTTCTCCCCTGTGCAATCTATTCATTTGACAAATACTTTTTTTAAACTCAGTTTTTAAACTGTTAAGTATTTTCTATGAATCATTATACCGCTGAGATCTTAGACTTTCCTGCTTTGAATAACCAATGCAGATTTCTAACCAAACATTCCTGGTCTGGAAATTTTCGTGAACTGAAATCCTTACTCTGAGATAACGTATTCACTTAACCTCTCTGAGCAAACACCTTTATCTAGGAGAAATATTCTTGTATCTGACTTCAGTCATGTCTTATTCAAAGTCAATTCAAAAGTCCATTTGCGTTTGCCAACACCTGCTGAACTTGTATGCTAGTTTCTTTTTTGTGTATGAGGCGTTCCAAATTCTTTGTACTGTGACTTCCTGCAGTTTTTCTCAATTTGGATAATACTCAGTTCCTCTAGTCTTCCTGTCAAAATGCAGCCTCTCAATTTCTCACATTATAATTCATATTCCAAGTTTTTGCCCACCTGTCTGTAGTGCTCTGCAGACTCTTTGATTGAAATAAATCTGTCAGGCATGATTTTCTCATCATGAAGCCATGCTGATTCTGCTTCGTTATGTATTTCTAAATGTTCTACTATTACATCCTTTATAATGGGCTCTAACATTTCTCAATAGCAAATGTTAAGCTCGAATAAGGGTGTTACTTTAGCAGTTTTCTAATCCTCTCGGACTTTTCCAGAATCAAATTATTATTGGAAGACCACTGCAAGTGTATTATCTCTGTAGCTACTTCCTTAAAAATCCTCAATGCAATCCATCTGATCCAGGGGCTTAATTTTAGCCTCCTTAGTTTCCCAAGTACATTTTCTCTAATGATTTGTGTTTATTTCCTCCCTTTCTTTAAGCTCTTGATTCAATTGATATTTTTGGAATGCTATAAGTTTCCTCTTGTGAAAACAGATGCATAGCATTTATTCAACTTGTCTGGCATTTCTAAGCTTTTACCCAATTTATTTTCATTGACTGGTTTAATATTTTTTCTGTTCTTTTGCCATAAAATCCCATAAATATAAACAAACTTTCATTAATCCTCCAGAGGGCCTTCAGCTTTTCCCTCCCTGACAGATGCTTTTTATTAAAATCCTAGTTCTGGAAAGAAGTAACCTAGTTAATTATTAAACCCCTTCACAAAAATGGACCAAAACCCATCTGCCACTGGTTTGAAATCCAAACTCCCTTAAACTATGTATATATATTTTCAATATATCTGTCTGTCTCAAATTTTATCACAAACAATCTCTCTACATTTGCATTCAGTTTTCCTTGTGTTAAATGATAACATTCTATTAACTTTCCTGATTACTGGTTGTACCTGCATACTAACCTTTTGCCATTCATGGATGAAGGCACCCAAATTACTTTGCATCTCAATGTTCTGCAGTCTCTCACTGTTTAAGAAATGGGCTTTTTTTTTCACTCTTTCTACCAAAATGGATAATTGTATACTTTGCCATGTCATACTCCATTTACCTCAACTTTTCCGACTCACCGGAACAATCTATAGCCTCTTCTTCATAATATGTCCTCTTCACGGCTTGCTTTCCTACCTATTTTTCTGTTGTCACCAAATTTCCCATCATACTTCTATCCCTTCATCTGTGATTTATATGAAAATGTATACAGTTAAGGTCTGAGCACCAATCCCTATGGCATACCACTTTTTACATCTTGCCAATCTGAAACAGACCCATTTACACCTACTCTCTGCTTCTGTTGGCCAGCCAATCATCTTTCCGTGCCAATAGCTGCTCCTTGCATCAGAAACTTTCATTTTCCGCAATCACCTTTGATGTCGTACCTAATCAAATGGTTTTCCAGATGATCTGGAGATAACATTGGAAGAATCCATCCCTTCCCAAGTATCAACAAGCCAAGCTAGCTGTTCAGTTGACCGTGTCCTTGTGGACTGTGGACTGTGGACCCATTAGTTATTGGATTACCAATTCACATCTGCTTCAGTCTCCTATTGTGCAATAAATGTGGCCAAATTCTGATCAATGACTCATGATTCTTTTCCACAGGCTTGATAAGTCCAGAGGAAATGAAGGCCAGATACAGCGTACCCTACTGCTGTTAAGAATAGCTGATTCAGCAGTAACTTAATATCTTTTGGTTTGAATGGTTCAGGGCCAGACCACATGCTTATGTATACCATATGCTATGTACACAAAATGTTATGCAGTGAGAATTTGATAGTTCCTAGTATGTGAATGAAAAAAAGTACTCTGGACAGGTGGTCACAGGATTGGTCAGATAAAGAAAGTCCTTCAACTGATTTGCTTTTTCTCTGTGGTGAAATCTATCACAAATCTTGCATTTGTATAGCGCATTACTACAATAAAAATGCCCCATGGTGCTTCAGCTTGGTGTAATCAGCCAAAATTTGACAAAGTCACGTCATGGCAAATAATGTGGTTAAAGCATGCAGGTTTAATGAGCACAATAAAGGTTTTAAAGGAATTTAAGAAGGCCTTTCCAGAGCTTAGAGGTAGACATTTGAAGGTATAGCTGCCAAAGGTGGGCAAGATGCTGCTAAGTGGTGGACTTGAGATACCCAGCAGGATTGTAGTTCTGGAGAATATACAACATAGGAAAAGTTGGAACCATGGAGGGATTTGAAAAGGAAGATGAGAAGTTTAAAACTGTGGATTTGGTGGTCTGGAAGCCATTGCAAGTCATTGGAGAAGGAAACCTTATGTGATGTAGGATATCGGTAGCAGAGATTTGGTTGAGCTAAACTATCTTCCTCATTCAGACTTGGGCATTCTCCTGATCAGTCAGGCTTTCACATGTTTACTGCAAAGCACCATTTTCCCAGTACTGCAATGTCACCATGTGTCCGAGAGTGCTGTCTACTGGCCTGTAAAGTTAACACTGATGTGTTCACAGGTTATTGTTCATCTTTGTTCTGCAGAAAGTGCTTTTATAGCATCATTTAGAATTCCCTTTAATACTTAACATATTTTATTTCCAGGAAGCATCGAGCTGGAGTAGACATTCATTCATGCTCTCAATTCTTGTTGGAACTGTACAGTCAGTGGGTCCTTCCCACAAACACTGGCAAGAAAACCCCCGTTGTCCTGGTCAGTGAAGTAGTGAGATCGGTAAGTGTTAGATCTGATTGTGAAACAGAAATCTTTTCCAGCATGCTGGAATTCTGTCTCTCTTGACCATCTGCTCACATTTCACAGCACTGCTGAGGTCTGTGTTGCTACTTTGAAAAAGCCAACTTGGTCCCAGTTTGGTGCCTTTCTGATCACATGAGTCAGTGCCAGACTGTGCTGAGAAAGAAAGAACTTGATTAATAGAGTAACTTCCATTATCTTGAACTTGCAGCAAAGTAGTTCTAAGCTGTCACCACTGTTGTAATGTAGGAAGTGTGGTAGTTCGCACAAGCAGTAACGTCATCAAGTCAGAAAAGCTGCTTTCATTATTATTGTTGGGGGATGACTATGAGTGCTGTCTTGCATCTTCCAAGAGGGCACTTCAGGCCTCAGTTGACCTTCTCATCCGAACATTGACAGCTGTAATCGTATAGTACTGATGGTGAGCAACATGTTATGAGACTGGGGCTTGAATCTATCATCATCTGACTCCATGATGAGTGCTACCTACTGAACCACAGCACTGTAATGCTCTGGGTTTCATCTCCAAGGCAGTCAGGGAACCAAAACTAAACCTTGAACCTTTAACTTTTTCTGTCCTGATGCTGCCTGACCTGCTAAGTATTTTTAGCATCTATTTTAATTATTTTTTATATGAAGATTATAATCAACTACATTAATATCAAAAATGGTTTGGTGTCAAGCTTTCCTTGATAAAGCTTCTGTGAAGTACTTTGGGCTGTTTTATGACATTAAAACTGGTCTGTCAATGTAATTGGTTTTACCTACGTCCTGTGATGCTGTGCAAGCAACTTCTCCAGTGAGCTTCCCATACAACTTGTATCTGTGTGACCCTCCCAGATATTGTATACATGTTGATATTCAATGCGTACTCCATTCTGGTCACTGAATAGACTTTGTCTTCCCTTCCTTGTCCTCCTCTTCCTCCAGTGCCTTTTCCCAGACAACCTTCTCACCTTTCCCTTGCTGTTATCATCCTGTTGTAAGGTTTGCCTGCATATACCTACCATTCAGAGTTAGGCTTTTTTGATGCGCTTCTGCTGTGAGCCTTGGTCTTACCTGTTTGACGTGCTGTAATCTGTACAAATTTAGAATCAACAGAATTAACTCAAATTCATGAGATCTCTTTCACAATTGTTGAAGCCTGTCCTTCCTTTGCAGCTTTTGGCAGTCTCAGATTTGTTTACTGAGAGAACCCAGTTTGAGATGATGTACAACACTCTGACAGAACTTCAAAAAATTCATCCTGCAGAAGATGAGATTCTGAATCAGTATCTGGTTCCTGCTATTTGCAAAGCAGCAGCTGTTCTGGGCATGGTAAGGAGAAATTAAGTGGAAAAAGAAACTTACCTTGTCGGCTGCTTTAGAAAACTGGAACCATATGAAAATCCTGTTGTCTTCCAGTTTGTGCTGAAACATTCCATTCTTTGATAGATACTGTGTCTATTTTATACCTTTACATGCTGTACATCCATCACTGGACAGCCAGGGAAATAACCAAACAATGCACTGCCCTTCAGTCCACCCCAGTCACACCATCCTGAGAATGGCAGCAAAACAGAAGGGAGAAATGCTGGATTAATTTAGGAAATTAATCTGACAACTTCCTCCCTGATGCCAGTTGCTGCCACCTTGAGCCGATAATGACCGCCAACCATTGTCTGCTGTCCAACTGTGCATCGACTGTGATTTAAACGCTGGACTGCAGTGAATTTGTGGTTAATGCTTCATTTGTCTCCACAAAAATAAATATCATTCTCCCAGTAAAGAGCCAGTGCAGGCGTGATGGGCTGAAATGGCCTCCTGTGCTGTATAATTCTGTGATTTGCACTCTGCCCTTTAGCGAAGGAAGTCTGCCACCCTCACCTCACCTGGCCTGGTTTGTGTGTAACTCCAGACCCACAGTAGTGTAGTTGATTCTTAACTACCTTCTGCAATAGCCTAGCTAGCCTCTCTTTTCAAGGGCAATTAGGGGCAACAAATGCTGGTTTTACCAGTGACGCCCACAGTCCATAAAAAGTATGAAGGGGACAGTTATAATGTAGAATATAGGTCATTAATATAAGCTGGTCACTAATGCATCCAAAAGGTAATACAGGTGAATAGTTAAATGGTGAAACATGCCACCACAAGGAATAGTTAAGACAAGTAACAGATGCATTTAAAGTGAAAAATGAACAGAAGACTGCGCAGATTGGATGCGAGTCAGAACAGAAACACCATCAGCTGATTTTTGAATGGCCTGATCTATGATGAATCTACATGATTCTGTTTTCTTTTTAAAAAAAAACAAAAAAAAACTGCATTTAAATGCAAGAACTTTGGAAACAGTAAATGTTTGCTTCATAGTGATTAATTTCTTCTTGCCCATGCTTTTATCTTTTAGGACAAGGCCATAGCAGAACCAATAAGTCGTCTGTTAGAGACCACAATGCGGAGTACCCACATGCCATCTCGAATAGGAGCACTGCATGGAATCCTGTACATTCTGGAGTGTGATCTACTGGATGAGACAGCAAAGCAGCTCATTCCGACCATCAGTGTTTACCTGCTGGCCAACCTGCGTGGCATTGCCCAGTATGGAATTTAATTTCTGGATGGATTGCACATGCCTTGATTTTATGTTTTACAGAGAATTCCTCCTTCATTGGATAGTGAGATTAAGAATGTTACCTACTGTTATGTTGTTAGAAAGGTCTTTGTATTTTAGATGTGAGCAAAACACTGAACTTCATCTTGTCGAGATGAATGTTGGATTATATTCACATACTCGCGCTTCCTTTTTGGAGGAGCTATACTCCCTCAAAATATTTTCAAGTTTGACTACTGCTTTTTTTTTTTTAAGTTTTGGGAAAATGACCTGTAATTGTCCTGAAACATCGTAGATTCCTAACACATGGAAGTATTGACCAAATACAGAAAATCAGTTTCTTATCAATTAGTTTGTACTAACCCAGAAATAAGATGAGGCAGATTCTCACTTGTTGAATCTTAGGATTTAGGAACAGTGCGTGCATGGTAAGCTGTTCTTCCCAAGAATGTTATACTCACCACATGCTTTGTCTCAAGTTAGTCATGCACTGGCATTCTGTTTTGTTTTGTGCTTTTTAATCATGGAAACAGTACCAGTAATGGGCATCTCATCGGACTAATGATTGGGGTTAAAGTTCTAGCACAGCCACTGGGGAGTTTAAGTTCAATTAATTAAGTATATCTGTAATGAAAGGCTGTTATAAAGATGACTGAACATTCAGCATTGTTCTAATAAACCCGTCTAGTTCACAGTCGCTGCATGATGATATTAATTCGCTGTCTCATATTTGTCCACCACTGACCACAAGTTACTGATGATATCTCTAGTGACTGCCAACTAATGCCAGATTTTAGAAATAGAAAATCTATGTCTGCTCTGTACTTGTTGTTTTCCACAACTCAATGCATTTAATATGAGAACTTGAACTGTTTTCTGAGCAATGACAATGCAAGTGTTACAGAGAAGAATGGAATGGCATAATAGGTGTAATGCTTCCTATGTTACATGTAAAACCAACCCCAGTGTTAATACAACTCCTAGCACCTGATTGCATGCAATATAACTGACCAATTATTTTTCCTTGGCAGCTGTGTCAACATTCACAACCAACAACACGTGTTGGTGATGTGTGCAACTGCTTTCTATCTCATCGAAAACTATCCGCTTGATGTGGGCCACGAATTTACTGCAGGCATCATTCAGGTATCATTTACTTCTATCACTTAAAGTAGAGAGAACGGCTTGGTAAGGCCATTAAAGTAATGAGGCCAAACACACAGGAGAGGGAGGGGTTACCATATTGGGTGCTGTGGCCTTTTTTAAAATAATGAGAATGTTAAGATATAATGTAGAAGGTGCCAAAAAAATCAAAAAGCAAAATATCATAGCTGCTGAAAATCTGAAATAAAACTAGAAGATGCTGGGAATGCTCAGGTGGTCAGGCAGCCCTGAGCAGAGTGGAATAGAGTTAACGTTTCAGATTAATGACCTTTCATCAGAAAGATCGTCTGGTGAAATGTCATGACCTAAAACAATAACTCTCTCTCTCTCTACAAATGCTGTCAGGTCTGCTGAGTACTTTCCATATTTTCTGATCTAGTGCAAGAATGAGGTGAGAGCTAAGGTGTTTGAACTATCGGGAAATGACTAACATGCTTGGAGTTCTTCAGTGTTATGACCTTAACTGATGATCCTACTTGACAAGCCTGATATTAGAAACTTTGCTTTTTTAAAATTTATCATGGTGGTCTTTCATTGAAATGTGGGCAGAAGAGACTGCAGATTTTCTTTTGCAATAAAAAAGAACTTTGTTACACTGAAAAGGGAAAAAAAAGTTGTGTAAACATAGAAGTTTGAAATATTTTATAAAACAGGACAAATCGAACTCTCATCTATTTCCCAACTCCATCATGTTGCACCATTGTAAATTCTGAGAAATCCATGCTTTTGTATCTTTAGGTTTGACTTAACTGCTGCGCACCAATTCTGTCCTGTGACCTGTGAAGCCACCTTACGTGAATAGTTTAAAATGGAAGCTGAGACTTTCTCAATCTTTGAATCGTCTGCTGTTTTCTGACTAAACACTCCTTGTCTGGAAGTATCGCAAGCTAAATTTTTATATGAAGTAACT